AACATAAATTAGTAATTCTCAAAACAATAACAAAAATCACCTATCAACTAACAAGTCTACCAGACTCTCTGAGCTTATTCCATGGCTTTATTCTATGCTTTAACTCAATTTTTCTACCTCTACTCCTTTGCTTTTTACATATTTCTCTGTAAATGGCAATGTATATGGATTAAAAAATATTACTAAGTTCAAAATAAAAGTCATCTCCTTTTATGTCACATAGAAAATTGAGAGCTAATACCTAAGAAAAACTCAGTAAGATGCTAATTTAAAACATACATGGATGTAATTATCTCTATAATGTACAGTCAAATAGAAATGCTATCAAGTTTTTCAAGTGAATTTCAAGCACAGATGTCTATCCGTTTTCAAACTTTTTTGTTTGTAGGAAGACCTGTCTTTGAAGCAGGGTGAAAAAATAGGGTGAAAATAATAAGGTGAAACTCTTATTGCTTTATTATTATTTAGTTAGGACAGCAAACATTCATTAGTCCAGCTTAATCCTATACTATTAGATACCTCCTAACTTTCTATCAGCAAATCAGAGCTAGTGGCCTCTAGTATTTCACTTTTTCTCATAAAATAAATTACTGTAAAATGTTTTGAAATTATTTTACATACTATTCTCACATGAACTTTATTAATAACAAGGCTTAAAAGGTGATTCCTGAGCTAGGTGTCTGTGACTCAGGAGGCTGAGATCCAGGGAAAGAGAGCTTTGGCTCAAGTGGTAGAGTGCTAGTAGCCAAGCAAGCAAGCTGAGCAGACTTGAAGTCCTGAGTTCAAGCTGAGTATTGCCTAAGCCCCCAAAATCCAAACCAAACCAAAATAAATGAAAAGTGATTTACCCAAGGTAGCAGATCTTGAAGCAGGAGACCAAACTGAGAGTTAGATATTATTTCTACAAGTCCACTAGTCTTCAAATTGTAGGACAAGTGGAGAATTGCATTGATGGCACAGACCTGAGGTTGCTTTATCTTGCCACAGCAACTCAATTACACCCTTATTTCTCTATTTTGTTCAGGACAACATATGTCATGAATCTTGCTGTAATTCACACATCCCAGCTCTAAAACATTCTCCTTCATTTTATTATGGCTTAGTATTCACTTGTGCTGATTGCTGGGAAGCATCATTGCTACATTCAATTGTACAGTAGATTAATTTCTAAGAACTCTGTGACGAGTTTCTCAAAGAAAAGTAGCCAACCAACCCAAAGTATACTCAACTTGTTCACATGGTCCTTAGCTTAGAAAGTATGTATGTGGAATTGGAGAGTAGTACTGTCTCCTGTTTCAGTAAAATGGGGCAGCTAATTGCAGCTGGGCATGGTGTCTCGCCCCCTACCATTCCAGCTAGTATAGAGGCAGAGATGCAGAAGGGCAAGGTTTGAAGACAAGTCAGTGAGACTGTCTCAATCAGTGGCGAGGGCTTGTATTCTTAGCTACCAGGGGAGGTTCATGGTTTTAGTGTAAATAATTTAAAAGTCACGTGTAATTATCAAAGCTCACTGTACTTATTAGCAACTCAGTAAAAAAAAAAAAAAAAACTTGTGAAAAAAGCTGTTCGTATTTAAGACCTTTCTCTATTTTTCATTTAACAAAATTTGTCCAAATTAACTTTTAGCCTAAAAACAGAGAGAACAATGTTAATTTTTGACATTAAAAAGGTCTATCTTCCCAGACTAATACATCCTGCTTCCCTATACATTGCCACAGAGTTTAAAAATGTCATACCAGATTTTTTTCAACTATCTAAATTGAATCATTTTATTATGTGGTGAGCCAGATAACAGTAAGCAAGGTAGCTTGATGTTCCCAGATAATGCGTTATACAAGGAGAAACAAAAATAATTTTTATCTTTCTTTCCTTCTCTCATTCAGGATAATAACGTTACTAATTATTCAAAACCACTACTTATCTTTGAGAGTCAAACTTCTCCACAAGGGCTATTTCATTTCCGTAAATGACAAGCATTTTCAAATACATACTATTATGTATCTTTTACCACAGAAAGATATTCTCTAACTCTCATTTGGAGTTATTAGAGTTTGAACTCAGGGCTCTACCACTTGAGCCATGCACCCACAGTCTTCAACCCTCCCTCTCTATCAAGAAGGTAAGCTCCATTATACTTTTGTTTCCATGTAACCCTAAGCCGCTCAAAGTTTCAAATGTATCAATGTAAAACTACTAAGTATCAAATATATTTACTATAAGCTGCAAGGAAAATAGGCTACATTTTTACAAGAATTATTATTAATCTTGAAACAACTGGAAAGCCATGGGAAGAAAAGTGAGTTAGGCAATAGATATATTGAAATGTCAGTGGCCCAGACAACAGACAACCCCATTTATCTAAGAACAGCAAACTTAATAAATTTTACAAATATTCTGTCGATATTTTCTCTCTCAAAAAGCAAAAGCATCAGACCCTATCTCAACTTAAGACAGGAAAGGAACCCTTGTGTAAAGCAGGAGGGATGAGAACTGGGAAGAAAGCAACATGAAAGGGCAGCAATGGTGACACTTAGGAAGGACTATGGAACACAGGGAGGTAAAAGTACCTTCGATAGGTGCTGGGGAAAAACAGCATGGTCAAAGGAGAGAGGAAATAGAGGAAGATGAATAATTCAAGAAATTGTCAAGCTCATGGTGAAATTACTAAATAAAATCCAAAAGAGCTAAAGGCTCTATGATGGATGGAGGTTTGAAAGTGGCACAGTAGAAGAACCAAGCAATTAAATTAACTAAGCCAGGGAGTGTGTGAAACATTTACAAAGGTGACATTGGAGCTAGGCCTTGAGGAGAGAGGAAGCCTTTGCCAGGGAGAATCATGAAAGAATTCAGAAAATTGCTCTTTGTCATATTTTATGTGTTAAAGGTGAGCAATAAGAAAATCTCTTCCTGGAAAAGAAGACTGTCCTACGAAGTATGGAAGGTATATCTACTGAGAAAATTCCTTATCCAAAAAAGAAATGTGGTTCTTTTGGGAGTACCATTGTTTTTTAACTCTGGGACTTGAGCTTGCTAAGCAGGTGCTCTACCACTTAAGCTCAGTCTGGAATTTCTGTGTGGGACTAGTCTGGACATTGATTTCCAAGGCATACCTTCCAAGTAGCTAGATCACAGATATGAAACACTAGGCTCGGCTTATTAGTTGAGATAGGGTCTTGCTACCCCCCCGTCCTTCCTCCCAACTGGCCTCCAACAAGATCCTCCAGGGCCCTGCCTCCTGGACATGTGGGATTACAGGCATAAGCCACCTTGGTTAGCCAGGATGTATCTTGATAAGAAAATGCACTCTTGGCAGTTCCACTACCTCTGCGTTTAACAATTCGAATTTCTGGTGCCATTAAAGTGTAAAGACTTTTTAAACAAACTTTAAGCAGCAGAAAATCCAGTCCCTTCTTTTTTTCATTACTATATATTAATTGTACAAAAGAACGGAAACCCCATTTTCTGAATGAACGACAAAAAAAAAAAAAGTCCCAAAGACAACAGGTTCTTCTTAGGTGCATCTGGCTTTAGGAGACAGAAGCAACATTTATTTCCTATACCTTTTCTCTTGATTGTGAACCAAAGAATGACTGAGGGCAGTTAGAAGAACACTGTTTCCTGGTAGTGTGATTCAGGACACTGGGGGGGGGGGGGGAAGCGCAAAAACGTTTAGAGCAAACGTTTAGGTCGCGTTCTCAAGTCCCCCAAGAACCTGTAAACTGCAAACTTGATCATTTATAGGAACCGACTCCTCTGGGGGTGGGGGTTGGGGGTGGGGATCCCAGGAGCAAGTGCAACACCCAACTGGAGGCCCGCAGGAACAACAGACACAGTTGTTGTCTAGCAAAATACACTATCCCCCAACCCAACATTCACTGGCCCCCAATGACATCCCCGCATATATAGAAAAAACCCCTTCCCCAGAAGTCCCCCCCCCACCCCGACACCCTCACAATAACTCCCCACCATCCCAAACAACCCTGCGGGCGTGACAGGCAGCACCGACTTACTGAGCTGTCCCCCGCCCGACGCCGTGCTCGGCTCCCGACCTGCAGCGCCTCCGAGGCCCGCCGCTCCGGGGATCCCGGGAGCCCCGATCCCCGGCGGGGTACCGCTCTGCCTCTCGAAGTTGCCTGGGTTGGAGAAGTAGTCGCGCAGCCGAGGCAGCTCGCGGCCGCTCTCCAACAGTTCCGTGTGCAGCTCCAGGGCGGTCAGCAGGTACTGATCGCGCAACAGCTGGGCGGCGATGGCATCGATCGACAAGCGAGCCGGGGTCTCCCCGGCGCCCCCCAGGGCCATCGCCGCCGCCGCCTCCGCCGGGACCCCCGGCCGCGCGCCGCTCCCCAAGGCCAGGGGATCCTGTGGCGACAGCGAGCCCGCAGAGCCGGGGTCCAGGCCCACGCCGGTACCCAGCCGAAGTCCTGCCCGCCGCTCCTCGGTCGCCGCTACCTCGTCGTCCTCCTCATCCGAATCGCTGAGGAACGGATTCACGCCGCCGCCGCCGCCACCTCCGGGCGCCATCGCCGCCATCTTATCCTGACAGGAGAGTGGGCGCCTCCCTGGCAGGCGCCAACAGGCCGCAGCCTGAGTCTGAGCGTCGGTGGCCTCGCAGCGCCTACACCGCCACGGCCCAACCACGTCCCGCCTCCCCACCTGGAGGCTAAGCCCTGGCTCGGAAGTAGGAGGTCCGGGTGCGGCAACACCCACTGCTTCAGCAGCCGCTGCACCAGCAGCCGGCTCTGCAGGCGTCTTCCTGGTCCCCAGTCTCGCGAGAACTGCAGGGTGTCCCGCCCTCTCCCCGCCTTAACCCCGCCCCAGCACGCCTCAGTCCCGCCTTATCTCAGCCCCAAGGCTCCAAGATTGAAGGACCCGCTCCCGGCTCAAAAGCAAAACCCCGCCCATCACTCCTCCTGATTGGCTGGGATGCCAGGGGATTGGCCCGGGAATTATCGTGAGAGTTGCCGCGGCTCGGGAAGTGTCGGGGCCGTCTGGTGGTTGAGGGTCGGGTGTGGAGGTGGTTTTAGGGACACCCTGGTGGTTGTCCGTTGCGTGGGCTGTGGGGAACCCTTCCGATAGCTCCATGGCCTTTGGTCCTGCCTTCGCGCTGAGGAGGCCTCGTTTCCGAGATCAGGTCTGACCCAGGTAACGTCCCGGGACCATCGCGCTGAAGCGCGGGGCTCCGAAGCCGCGGCCTCGCGGGAACCGTGGTCCCGCGGATCCGCGCCACTGTTTGCTCTCGGTGACGTCTCCTCAGCGCGGAGGCCGAGTGCCCCGCACACGCTGGCCAGAGCCGGGCTTCCTGCCCTTCCCGCCCCTGTGTTTTGTCCCCGTGGAGGCCTGGCGACAGCCCCGAGTGGCTTGGGTGTGGGCGAGGGCTCCCCCCGCCCGTGGGAAGCGCGGTGCGCCGTGGAGTTTGAATGGAAGATGCAATGCCCAGCGTCGGTCTGTGACAACAGTGTTAAGTACTCGCTCCCGGAACACCTGGGACTCACCACACAATTCTCACAGCAGGGACTTTTCTCTGGAGTGTAAACTAAAGCCCAGAGATTTTCTAGGACCCGTCCCCAGGAGCTCCACCAATAAGTCTTCAAAGGAAGTCCCGTCATTTGTGGCCCGTCCCGAGCCGTCCTTTTCCCACAATGCCCTGCACGCTCTCTGCCTGGTTGGTTGAAGCTAGGATGGAGGTTTTGCTTGTGGAACTTGATTTTAAAGGTGGAGCGCTGTAGGCAGTATTGATTTCCTTTGTGGTGCGTTGACACTGTAGTCTTTAATTGGGAAGACTGGCGCTTATCTTTTCCATTACCTTTTGGCTACAAGCTGAAAAAAGCAATGTTTTCCAATGGACAGAACTAGACGGCTATTGCTGATGGCTTATTTTCTCACACAACTTGCTACTTATGCAGGTTTTCAATTTCCTACAGTACAGCCCTCAGTAGGCACCAAAAACAAACAAGCAGCTGTAATTATGACTATCAGGCAAGTTACATATTACACTGAAGCAGTAAAGTATCCTTTGTGGAAAATAAAAGTAGAGCATTCTTATATAACCTTAGGTCAGGTTATAGGTTTACAGGTAACATATGCCAACAGTTGTAGGCTTGAGTTTCAGTTGAACCAGGTTCAGCAAACTGAAATGTTCATTTGAATGGAACCCTGAGCTATTTTTATTTTGGCTGGTACTGAGCTTGATTGCTTGCTCGCTTAGCTGGCATGCCACCACTTGAGTTATGCTTCCAGCCTAACTTTTTGCTGGTTCTTTTGGAGATAGCGCATCACAAACGTTTCTGTCCAACATGGCTGTGTCCTGCCATCCTCCAGATCTTATTAGCCTGCCCTTGCTTACTTTAGACTATAAATTTTTTATAGGACTACCTCATGATATTCTATGTTAAATATTTTTCAGTGCCACTTGTTGAAGAAAATACGAGAAATTCCAACGTTAGGGAATAATACCAATTATATCAATGATATTAAAATGACCAATACTCTATCCTTTTACATATTTTTTTAAATCAAAAGGGATTGCCGATCCTTATTTCAGTTTGCCAAAGTGATTAAAAGTTAAACACTGGAATGGAGGATTAGTGAATGACACAGGAAAAGAATGGTTAGTTTGTACAATAGAATGGATTGTTTGTACAAAAGAATGGATTGTTTGTACAATATATCCATCTCTGTAATGCAAAATTTTAGAAATCTAAGCCTAAGTTAAAGTCCCAACTATACATATAAATTATGAGACCTTGAAAAAATTCAAGCCTAAATTCTGTCAAACTCTGGCATTCATCTGCTAAAGGGGATAATGAAAGGCATAAAATTGAGAATATTCTTGTCACAGTGGTAAGCCATAAATGTTAGTATGGCCAGTTATTAATTAATGAAATAGTAGTTACTGAAACATTTTTAGAAACCAAATAGCTACTGTTTTAGCAGATAAAGCCTGAAAAAGTAATTAGGACAGCAGAGCTAAAAGGAAATACCCTTAATTTAGGATCTGAGTTCTAACACTCAGGTTGAAAATAGATTAAAAATGTTTCCTTGGAGAACTGTAAGAAGTTGGATGTAGAAGTTCTTTCTTGATGAACATAGAGAAATGCGTTGTTTTTACTACATCTAATGCCTATCCTGTAAGCGTGGGCTTGTTTATGTGACCTTGCAAGCCCATAACAAATGAACTGGCCAGTCTTCCCACTAGGTCCTGGGAAGTGCCTAGAGGGATACCTCTGTATACCACCATCAGAACACGTTGTTTTGTTTTGTTGTAACTGTACTGGGACTTGAACTCTGGGTCAGGATCTGACCTTTAGTTCTTTTGCTAAAGGTTGGTGCTCTACTACTTGAAGCACAATTCCACTTCTAGATTTGTGAAGGTTAATTGGAGATAAGAGTCTCACAGACTTTCCTGCCTGTGCTGGCTTTGAACCTCCATGCTTCAATCCCAACTTCCCGAGCAGCTAGGATTGTAAGCCTAAGTTGCTACCACCTGACTAGTGTAGATTTTTATTTATCAATAAAATATGCAAGTGACACAACCTATAATAATTTCTGATCTCTGCTATCAAAATTTATTACTAATATTATTGGGAAATTTACTTTCTACTGAAGATTTAGCCTTTATAGCTAATGTTTTATCTGCATAATAATAGCTACTGAAATTTGTATTTTAGAAATAAAGATATAAAATTTATTTTCCAAGCACTTTAATCATGTAAGTGTTAAAGAATATTTTTGGAGTTGGGTACTGGTAGCTCAGGCCTGTAACCATAGCTACTCAGGAGGCTGAGATCTGAGGATTGTGGTTCAAAGCTAGCCCAGGCAGGAAAGTCCATGAAACTCTTATCTCCAATAAACTACCAGAAAAATGGAAGTGGAGCTGTGGCTCAAGAGGTAGAGTACTCACCTTGAGCTGAAGAGTTAAGGGACAGCGCTCAGGCCCAGAGTTCAAGCTCAGGACCAGCAAGAAAATTAAAAAAAAAAAAAAATTAACTACCAAAAAGCCAGAAATTGAGCTGTGGCTCAAAGTGTTAGATTATTAGCCTTGAGAGACAGCACCCAGGTCCAGAGTTCAAGCCCTACCACCATCAAAATAAAAAAGAGGAATATTTTTGGGAGGCTAACGTTCTAAAGTTTTAGTAATATCTAATAATTTTTTACTTTTCAGTGTGTGTTAAACATCCAACAGATGTAAGCCAGATAGATTTTATTGATGCATGAAGATAGGAAAGTTTCCAAACAATTGAATCATGGCAGGAGTTTCATTCTCAATAAATGGGAACAAGAAGTGATTGTCTTTAAAGAGAAAAATCACATGATAGTATTGCTTAATATTCATGTGTTTGGCTATAATAAGTAATGTGTAAATACCAATACTTTAAATTTACTGAGCTTTTTATGTATCAGAGATTACTTACACATAAAATGTGGGTCTTTTTTTTTTTTTTTTTTACAGGTAGTTCAGTCTTTACAGATCTGGTCTAGAATTAAAAAGGGAATCACAGCGACCTCTAGTGTCCATAGCACATATTGTCTTTGATATGGTAAACAAATAATTCAGAAAAACCTCAGTCCTTACCAAGTGCATATAGGACTGTGATGGACATTAATGATGTCCTATCCTCCTTCCCTAGAATTACAGTGACGTGGTGGAGAGATACGTTAGTCCAAACAGTCAAAGACATTGTTAAGTACTCAATCCAAAGGTTTTGGTTTCTGATTTAGCCTGCACAGTCCCTAAGGAAGTGAGGTTGAAAGGAGACAGCGTGACAAGTGAGAGTGGAGGCTAGGTTGGAAGTACATTCTATGGAGAGGACATTGTATAGCAATGGGGCACATGGGATACTCGGAGAGATAAAGGAGAATGGTGAAATGAGCTAAACTGCAATAAAGGTTAGTATTACGGGATGAGGTTAGAAAAGGAAGCAGCGACCAGCGACCAGTCCATGTAAGACCTTGTAAGTCTTGACTAGGATGGAGAGCAGTACAGCAGGGTTTTATACAGCATCTAAGATGTACATAACTGTCTTTTGTTTTTTTAAAAAAAATCATGAAAATAATACTATGACTGTGTGCCAAGACAATATTAGGAGTCAGCCTGCCTGAGTGCAGTAGTTCAGGCAAGGGATGGCATACCTGGAGGACTACAGGAATGGGAGTAGAGTAAGACAAATGAAAAAGAGCCAAGAAAATAAAGTAGACTCAATTCTTGGATGAAATATAAGGGAGAGTGTGGTAAAATGAATGATGGATAATTCTGTGACTTGCATACTTCAGGATAATATGGTATCATTTCCTCAGGTATGCAAATAAGGATATGATTAAATAAAGGCAGGATAGAAAGAACAGGGTGATAAGGTAGCCTAAGACCAAATTTTGAGTAATTTCAAAATTCAGTAACCAAAGTGAGACAAGAATGTAAATAGAAAATGAAAGGAGTAATATTTGTAGAAAGGATGACATCCTGTTAAAATAACAACAAAACCCAATACAAAATAGAGCTGAGCACCAATGGCTTGCTGTAATCCTGCCTACTCAGGAGGCTGAGATCTGTGCATTTAGGTTCAAAGCCAGCCTGGGCACGAAAGTCCATGAGATAATTACCTCCAATTAACCAGCAAAAAGCTGGAAGTAGAGGTATGGCTTAAATGGTAGAATGCCAACCTGGAAAGAAAAAACTGGGTGACGGTGCTCTTAGAAAGTACCTAATGAAATACAATGTGTAGTTCATTGTTACTAATTGAAAGAAGGCATATAGTGATATACAAGGGAAAATATTTTCCTAAAAAACTCCTATCAAGAGCAGTAATGCTCATAAGAAGTATTCTTGAAGGTCTTTACATGTCTTTTTACATGTTAAGTGATACTTTGTTTCACTGAATAAAGCAAGCCAATTTTAATGTTTAATATTTCTAAGATATTGGTCTAAGATACTAGATTTAGTCAAATATGCTTTTATTCTAACAGAGGTTAGTCAAATTTCACCCACATGAATATATTTACTTTTTTCAAGAGATATATTTAACAGTAAAATTTTGTTCTATTTTCTTTAAGTCTAGGAAAGTTTGTTTCCCGTTTTAAAATAATTTTATCTGGTATCTCTTTTGCTTTATAAGTTTTCATGCTTACACTGGTAGGTTTCCTCTAAGGTTGTCCGAAAGAGTCTTAGACTATCTTGGTGTTGAACTTTGATAGCTCCTGATGGATCTTGGGGCTTTCTTGAATTATCCTGAAGGCATAGTCAAGGAGGAGAATTTCAGTATATCTTAAAATATTTTAAAACAGGAGCTAAAGTTTATATATACATACATATATATATATATATATATATATATATATATATATATATGGTAATGGCCATGAAAATATTTGAAAATTTTCATGAAATAAAGTGAACACATTGAATAATAATAAAAGATATTAAAAATTCTGTTTGAAGTATTGCCTGAATATTATATACCACATCTCCTTTTTATTTATCCAATTTTCTTTGTTATGCTGTATCTATTGGAAATGGCAGCTTTTTCCTTAGGATGGCTTATGAAATAAGCAAAGAAGAGAAATATTTATTGCTGAGTTACTGAATTAATTTATTGTTAGGAGAATCAATGTTCAATTAAAAAAATTGTTTCTGTATACAGATGTCAAAAGCAGTAAAGGTGCCTATAGCTTGTGAATTAATGGTTGTACTTATGGTTTGTTTAAAACATAATATGAGATATATTTAAGACTATACAATTATATATAAATTTTAATTATTCACATTGAGTTTTGTATGTGTGTCAGTACTAATGCTTGAACTTAGGGCCTTAAGTTCCTGCTTGGCCTTTTTATTTTTTTCTCTAGGTTGTAGAGCTTGAACTCAGGTCCTGAGCACTGTCCCTGAGCTTTTTTCACTCAAGGCTATGGTTCTACCACTTTAAGCAACATCTCCACTTCTGGTTTTCTGGTGTTAATTAGAGATAAGAGTCTCACAGACTTTGCTACCTGGACTGGCATTGAATCTCTGTCCTCAGATCTCAGCCTTCTGAGTAGCTAGCTGAGCCACCAGCACACGCTTGCTTGTCTTTTAGTTCAAGGCTGGCACTTTAGTACTTTTGCCAAACCTCCACTCACATACTTTGCTGCTCAGCTGGCTTCAAGCATCCTCAGACCACAGCCTCCTGAGTAATTAGGATTAGAGGTGTGTGTCACCAACTCCCAGCCACAGTGATGCTTTTCATAGTGAAAAATTAGAAAACATTCCAACCTTAGTTTCATCAGGAAAATAAGACTCTGTAGAATAGAATAGAGTGTGGTAAGTGATATATGGGAAAATGTTTAATTTTTGAAAAAGAAATGTTAATGTATGCAAAAGAAAAAATGAGTAAGGGCTGGGAAGTTGGCTCAGTGGTAGAGCGCTTGCCTTGCATGCATGAGGCCCTGGGTTCGATTCCTCAGCACCACATAAGCAAAAAAAAGAAAAGAAAAAAGCCGGAAGTGGCACTGTGGCTCAAGTGGTAGAGCGCTAGCCTTGAGCTGAAGAGCTGAGGGACAGTGCCCAGGCCCAGAGTTCAGGCCCCATGACCGGACCCCCTCCCCCCCAAAAATAGAAAAAAGAAAAAATGAATAAGTAAAATTGTGTGCTTTTACAAAATGTAGATAGAATGAAAATTGTAAGAAACTATTAACAAAGACTTTATTTCAGGTGGTAGAAACATAGGTAATTTTCCTATATTATTTATTAACAATTTTGTTATTTATACTTAGAATGCCATTATTAAGTTTCTGCTTATTGTCTCATTGAGCTCATGTAGATTAAAAAAGGAGCAAACGTTTATACTGAGACCATTGCTTTTGATTATAACTGCTTACTAAGGAATTTTTATGTTGTTTGGACTTTGATATTTAGTTTACTCTTGATTTTCTAAAAAAATTAGCATATGATTTGACCTTTTTGCTCTGTCATATTTTCTTTGTTGTATGGGTTTTTTATTTACCTTTGATAAGCATTTTTTTCTAATATTTTCTTTCATTTTTGCAGCCTATTTTGCCATCCTTTTATTCCATGGTATGATGATTCTTCAGTCCTGGAAAAAGATGTGTCTATAATTCAAATGATTCTGTCTTTGGTATATTTCAACCCAGGGTCATTATATGTAGCCAATACTGATTCAAGTAAGATCAAGTTCAAGTGATTTTTTTTCTTTCTTCTTTAGAGAGATCTGTTAACAAAAGCAAATTAGTAGACTGATGTGAAAAATCCTCCTATAGCAAGTTTGATGGCATACTGTTTAATGGCATACTGTCTTACAGTGTTATTGAAACCTTTCGCTTCACTGAGTTGTCTTTGGGAATTGTAAGCTTGTCATATCTGTGATTATATCTCCCTGGTACTTTTTGCCTCACGCTCATAATTATGCTGACATCATGTATAGAGAACATTTTTTCCAGGGCTGAGGACTGAACCCAGGGCCTTGAGCTCGCCAGGCGGGCGCCCTTCCGCTGAGGTTTTTAAACCCCCAGCCCTGAGAATATTTTTACTGAATGAATAAATGTAGCCTTTTTTGTATTGATTCAGGGACTAAAAAGAGAGTGCAAAAAATAGAGTGCAGATTTTCTGAAGCACAGATGAAATTTAACTTCCTATGTATAACTCACCTAAATGGATAGAATACGTGATTCCTTTCAATTTTGTAATAGGCAAGAGAGCCCCTTGGCTCTTTGAGCTGATCACTACAGTAAAAGATAAAAACTAATGAAATTCAATCTACAAATATTTAAATAATTACAAATAATAGCAACAATTGTAATATGCACAAGCAAGAGTATTATATATAGATATATACATGTTTTTTAACTGAACCTTAATTCATTTTAGAGGTGGTTTAATTCTTTTTTGCCTCCTTGAAAATTTTTATGTGCTTAGTAAGGACTTAAGCTTATTAACGGTTGTTAGTCCTTTTTTTTTTTGGTCCAGTCTTGGGGCCTGAACTCTGGGCCTGGGCGCTGTCCCTCAGCTCTTCAGCTCAAGGCTAGCGCTCTACCACTTGAGCCACAGCGCCACTTCCGGCTTTTCTTCTTTTTGTTTATGTGGTGCTGAGGAATCGAGCCCAGGACCTCGTGCATGCAAGGCAAGTGCTCTACCACTGAGCCACCTTCCCAGCCCTCCGGTTGTTAGTCCTAATGAACATTTTTGAAATTTTTCCTTGGTGTAGTTTGCTGGTTTTTTTTTTCCTGGCACTATCTCATTGTTAAATCATGTTTATTGTTACTATTGTAAGTGGAAGAGGAGGTGTGAACTATCTAATATTCTGTAATACATGTCCTATGGAAGGGGTGGCATTGATCAAGATGAATTGTACTTATAAACTAATTTGTTAACTTGAAGCCCCTTTATACAACTACTTAAAATAAAATAAAATACATGTTCAATTTATATGTACTTATGAAAATACGTGAAAACACATATGTATTAAGATTTATTTCAGTTTAATTTTGTTCCCTGTTTCAGGTTTTCTTGAAGATCAATCAGTTACGGGATATGCTGTTATTTTTTGCTTTGGGATTGCTCATACATTTTGTGTTCTTTGCCTCCATCTTTGACATTTATTTTACATCTCCGTTGGTTCATGGAATGACTCCTCAGATTACACCATTGCCTCCTCCAGCAAAAAGATTAGTGTTGATTGTTGCCGATGGCCTTCGAGCAGACACACTTTATGAACTGGATGAGAATGGAAACACTCGAGCACCATTTATTAGGTAAGCATGTCAACGGGTACAGAGTGTCTCTTAGAAATGTTATTCTGAGGTCAGGTAAACAGCAAAATACCTTGCTGTGTGTCTCACAGGGGCGCAGGGGTGATGAGAAAGAGAAGAGACCCTGCCACATTTGCATTTCTATATTAGCCCTAGATTGCTAGTTTGTTTTCTCTGAGATGTTATTTTTATTATGGTAGAAGCTGATACCAGGTGAATCAAAACATATAGCCCTATCTGATTTGGCCTACTCATTGTAATTTTTCAAACCTAGCTAACAATTTCTTATATCTGCTATTTATTAATTTATTAAAATCTGCTATTTTTTCTTGTGATGAGAAGAAATAATATTAAATACTAAATGCATTGAAGTTTAACTAGAAAATACAGAGTTTAAGCCAAAATACAGCTTGAATACAGCCTGCTATAAAGTCTGTTACCACTGTTCAATGTAACTTTGGCTTTTACTAAGTGGCTTTGGAAAGAGATGTTTAATTATTTTGGCTTACAAAGTTACTATAAACAATATATCTTTTCTGATTAATATGAAGTCCCTCAAAAACCCTTCCTAATGATTTATGGAGAGGTTAAAATCAGATTCCAAAGGAGATTTATCTAAATACTCATGTACTTATCTGTCCCCAACTGTCAGCATTACTTTCTGTCTAGTTTGTTTAATATTTTTTCTTTCTTTTTGTTAGTCATGAGTCTTGAACTTTGGGCCTGGGCACTATCCCTCAGCTCTTCAGCTCAAGGCTAGTGCCCTACCACTTGAGCTACAGCACCACTTCCAGCTTTTTGTGCTTATGTGATGCTGAGGAATCGGACCCAGGGCCTCATGCATGGAAGACAAGCATTCTACCACTGAGCCACTTTCCCAGCCCTAATATTTTTTCTTTTATGTATTACTTACTGTTATGTAAGTCCCATGAGGGCTGAGACTTATATAGACTATTTTATACCTCCCAATGGGAGGTCTGTCTAGGGGCAGCCCAGGATGTGACCTCGGAGAGGGGGAGGTGACTTTTTCCAGGTGTGCTGGTTACCTAGGTAATGCAGGCACTGGGGGGTGAGGGTAGGGGAAGACATGCAGGTGTAGGGGAAGGTATCTGCACAGGGCCTACATGGCCCAGGGCGGACCTTACAGTTACTATGTATGTGTTTTACCCAAATTAGTTTTATAAGGTTAATCATTATCAAAAGAATCTAAACCAGTAACTATAAACATTTTTTTTCAGAAAATACTGAAAGTCAAGGGTCCAGTACTACTAATGCTTGTGTTTCTTGTGTTTCTTCTTGCTCTACTGGCTCTCTTTCTGTACTAGCATCACTAGTGATTTTTCTTTATTCCCTACATTTTGCTAATCACTGTAATACAACATAGTATTGATAAGTTTTAGCAAAATAAATATTTTTCTGCCTTAATCTCAAATTTAGGAATATGATTAAATTTGTAATTAGGAATACAAGCTGTTTACCTGCTTGGGGACTCATCACTGTAATCCTAGCTACTTACTTGGGAGGCAGATATATTTGAGGCCACCCTAGGCAAAAGGTTTGCAAGACCTCTTCTCAAGTAATAACCTGGGCATAGTGTTGTGCATCTGTCGTCCCAGCCAACTAAGAGGCTAACATCAGGAGGATTTTAATTCTAGGCCAGCTTGGGCTTAAAAGAAAAGGAAAAAAAAATGTTGGCATGATTCTATCTAAGTAGAAAAGACTGATTGTTTTGTTGTATATCTGTCAGCTACACTGAGAAGTGTAAATAGTAGGATAATGGTCCATGCTGGACCTAGCAAAAAAAGATTGTATCTAACAAATAACCAGAGGGGGGAAAAGACTATGACCTAAGCAGTAGAGTGCCTGCATGCCTAGCAAGTGTGAATTTCTGAGTTTAAACACTAGTGCTGTCAAAAAAAGAGAAATTTTCAGAAATTGTTAAAAAAGTTTTTCAACAAAGGGTTATATTGTGAATATTTATATGCATTTGTTTTCAGCTTTTAAAAGTCTCTCAACATACATACACAGTTCATACACATGTATACATAACCCCCACACACATATACCCACAAACACATGTACACATACAGGGCTGTGTATGCATATACTTGCTTTTAATTGTTTTATTCCTGGATTATTTAGAAGCAAGATATTGTGACATTTCACCCCTAACAAACATAAATCTCTTAAGAACAGGACTTGCTCTTAAATAACCACAATACGATCATCATACCAAATGAAGTTTGACATTGATGTAATGGTATTTTATATATTAGCTACACATGCTTTAGTGTTTTGTGACCTACACCTTTAATGCTGTGTTTGTCTTGGGATTCTATGCAGTGGTTAAGCGGTAAATTGTGCCACTTGGGCTTCCTGTGCTTCTGTATTGAACTTGTGGCATGGGTACTACAGGGGAGTCAGCTAGGTTTGAAATACTCCTTACTATCTTGAATTTTAACTTTTCAGTCTTGATTTCTTCTGTAATAATGTTACTTTTCTAAAGCCTTATAAGAGCAGACTATGATAGTAGAGTCTACTCGCTATTCATCTGTGTTATCATTTAGGAACATTATAATGCATGAAGGCAGCTGGGGGATATCTCATACACGGGTGCCAACAGAATCTCGGCCAGGTCATGTAGCCTTGATAGCTGGGTTTTATGAAGATGTCAGTGCAGTTGCCAAAGGTATTGTCTGCTTAAACTTTTTTAATTAAATGAAATACTTACCGTATAAATGTATTTGCCACTGTATGAATAACTGTAAGTACAAATGTATTTGCTACTTCTTTACTATCAAATTACTCATAAGCTGAAAAGCATGTTTTGAGATACTTTTGTAAAGTGTTTTTTTTTAATTTTAATTTTATTGTCAAGGTGATGTACAAAGGAGTTATAGTTACATAAATAAGGTAGTAAGTACATATCTTGTCTAACTTGTTACCCCTTTCCACATTTTTCTGGTAAAGTGTTTTTGTATGCCTTGTTCCCATGACCACAAATTGATACTGATTCTGGAATTAAGCTTTAGTCTTTCCATTTTCCTGTGGTACTCAAAGAATATAGTTGGATGGATGTTTGACTTACCTACATACTACGGTCAAAAATTAAAAAGTGATTTTATATTTTAGTAATGACTTTTATTACTCTTTAAAAATACTAATATAAAATGTATGGCAAAAATCTATAATTTAAAAACCAGTCTAAAGATTTTTCCTAAAATCAAGATTCATTACATTCATTAGTATTTCATCTCCAGGTACTGTTATTTGAAGAATATATCATTTAGAGATTATTTGCCATGGTTATTTATTGTTCTTATTGCTATTTTTTTTCATTACCGGAAGGATGGAAAGAAAACCCTGTAGAATTTGATTCTCTTTTTAATGAAAGCAAGTACACATGGAGCTGGGGAAGCCCAGATATCTTGCCTATGTTTGCCAAAGGTAAGAGTCATTCATTATATTACTCAGGTGCACTAGGTTGTATTCTATCATTTTATCTGTTACTATATTTATTGATTTTAAGAGACATGTTTCCATCACACATCTTTGAGGATGTGTGTTACAGTGGATAGACATGCCAGTTTAATTGGAATCATTTTTTACTTCTTAATTATACTTAACACTAGCACATCACACTCTTAGGTAGTACTGTGTACTCAGTAAAATAGTGTATGGCTCTGTCACTTAACTTTACAATCTTAATAGCTGGTTTTATAAAGTTTTCAGTTTTCCTTTTTGAAAAATGCAACAATAGTAATGTTTTTAGAGTTAAATTAGGGAATTACTCTGAAACATTTATTAAAGTGCTTATCACTTACCTTCATTATGGTGATAATGTTGATGTGTGATTCATTGTACTTTACAACCAAGAAATTGTAGGTATTTATAAACAAATATTAAAATTTACAATTCCTATTTGAATGTATTTACTATGCCATATATTTTACATTGATATCTACGGTATTAGTGGATTTTAATATATTGAAATGCCATTATATTCAATTATATTTGCTGCAATTGAGTATGACATTTAGATGTGCTGAATTTGTTCATTTCACAAACCTGAATGTATTAGATCATTTCTCAATGAAAAGTATATATAATAAATATATATATATATATATATATATATATATATATATATATATATATATACTGCCATTAAATGCTTTTTACTGGTCAGAGTGACTGATCATTTCACTATATGGAAAGTTTTTGTAACATTATGCTTAACCATGGATATAATTTGAATAATTAGAACCCTGAAGATCATTACACATCTATATTTAATGTATTTTCATCTACTATTCATAGAACATTATTATACTCAGTAGAACAAAAAAAAATCTGTTTAATTGGTGGTGAAGACTGGTTAAGTTGCTATATTTTACCAACTTCATCTTCCTACTTCTGCCTATAACTAATAGAACAGGATCATGCCTGAATCCCACACAGTCCAATCAGAATGTTGTAGTTCATCTTATAACCGACTGCTGCTTAACTTTGGATGTGGGAAATAAAATGACTGAGCTGAGAAATAGGATCATTAGACTTGACTTTATATTACAGGGATCATATTACTTTATTATAACTTTTTCTGTGACCAACAAAAGTTTTATCTACCCCAGAAGTTAGTCAGATTATTAACAGACCTTGCAAATCTCTAAGATTAGTGTGTCATTGACCTCTTTAAACGTTTGGCATAGGCTTTTTTTTGCCTTTTATTTAGTAAAATACATGGTCCGTATGACAGATGAAATATTTGAATTTTTTTCTAGTCTTAAGGTTTATATGTCTGACATTTTCATCTAGTTTAGATTATATTACATCTTATATATTATATCATGATACAGTTTTTAAAAAGTTTATTAAAGGAGATAAAATTTAGTGCTTATTTTTGTTTAATTACATATTAGAATTTTTACTTTGCAAATTAGTTAACTTATATGTAACATAACTATGAAATGAGAATAAGCTCTTATGAGGGCAAAAATGATATGATAAGGTACATAGCACTATTTCTTGACACCTAATGTGTTAATTATTTCTCAACCTTTTTTCCCCTATCAGAAATAAAGTGCTTTGTAAAAATTTTTGGTTACTTTAGAAAAAATTTTAAATAATGCCAAATGTAGTGTTGTACACTTGTAATTCCAGCACTCTGGAAGCTGAGGCATGAGGTTTGATTGAGCCCTAAAGTTCAAGACTAGCCTGGGCAACAGCAAGAGAGTATTCCCAAAAAAATGTTTGTATGATTATTTCATACTTTATGATAGGTTAAAAGATTCTTTTAAAATGTATGCTTTCTAAATTTCCTTTGCAGGTGCTAGTGGAGACCATGTTTATACATACAGTTACAATGCTGAAAGAGAAGATTTTGGTTCCCAGGATGCAACAAAACTGGATTCCTGGGTTTTTGACAGTGTTAAGGTGGGTGGTAATCTCCAAAACACATATTTACGTAAAGTTCTGACAATGGATTTGTTAGTAAATACATCTTAGATATATTATTTTTACATATCTATGTAGTATCTTCTCCATTCAGTAGTCATTTTTAATTTTTTTAGTTTTCTTGTAAACATGCTCCTCAGTATGTACCTGCGTTTTTCTTTGTATTTACTTAGTAGAAATTAAGTACTTCATAAATTTTTTGCTGAAATGTATTTCTTTTGTCAGGGATCTTTCTCCTTTAGTGTTTTTAACTTTTTTTCACCCCAACATCCAATTTAGTCAATAGGAAAAACTTTCAAATTAAATAAAACCTCTTTAAGAAAATAATTAGCAAATTATTTTGCTAAACACTTACTAAGATAATTTAGTTATATTAACAGCCTTAGGCTTCTAATTTCTACGTTAACTGAAATACTCCAAAATCATGGTTTTGATTCCTTATGAATGGGCAGGCACTGACCATATGTGTATACCTTTCCTTTCTTCATTTCATCAGTGTTGGTGAGATATGATACCGAAAAGAGAAAAAGGATATGGCCATGATTGCTTCATACAATATGGCAAAGATATATATTTAATCAGTAACAGTAATTCAGATCATCAACAGTTGTAAGAAGTGAGAAGCAACATACAGACTAAGAAAATTCTAATCTGGACCAGGCAGTTACCAGGATGTTTTCCTGAGAGTTATGAGATGATCTTTGAAGAGATAAAAGAAGGAAAGGATATAACTGGGGAGAACTGGTGTGAAATTGTTGATTTAAGGCTGATAGCATTATGTAAGTGTTGAGTCTAAGGCACAAGCCAGCCTAATGGATTTGAGGAACTGAGAAAAGAGAGGTTAATGTGACAGGATCTCTAAAGTGGGTCTAGAGAGGAAGTTGAGAGTCTTATCAGGACTTTATGGTCAAAAACTGATGCAAATTTAGGTTACATTCTGTTGCAAATCCGTGAAAAATTCCATTCACTTCTTTTTGGAAATGGTGTAAAATTCACATGAAATTCACCATCTTTACCATTTTAAATTTGTTATTTATTAGTGTCAAATATATTCTCACCATTGGATAACTAATCTTTAGAACATTTTTATCTTGCAAAACTGAGAATTTATTAACCACTTAATGATAACTCCTTTCTCCTCCTTCTCCTAGTCCCTGGTAATCTCCATTCTGCTTTCTTTTACTGTGCATTGTGATTGGCTCATTTTACTCAGAATAATGTACTCAAAAGTTCCATGTCATATCTATTTACTTCTTAAAACTCAGTTTATTTCCTGCTCCCAGTTTGACTTAGATAAGCCTGTTTTGTGTTCTACAACTTCTGTTTTAGTACTTTATTATGCTTTAGTATGAGTTATTGATTCATTGGCCCATTCCCCTTTGATCATGTATCATACTATTTTTTTAACTCTAAGCTTCTATCAAGGAATTTGTTGGTGGGTAGATATGTGTATTAGCTCAGACTAGGTGTAGTCTTGTGTGGTAGAAAACACAGGACTTAGGTATGTTTACATCTGACTCAGGAAAGGTAATGCTAGATATAGGCAACCAGGAATTGATTCAGTCTAGTATTCTAGGCAGTGTCATCAGGACCTAGTTTTCTAAAGTTCTTTTCTGTCCTCAGAGAGTGGTTTTTATTTTTAGGTCATCTTGTGGTCTCAGATGGTGCTTCATTTGTAGTCTTTTCAGTGTTCTAGGACAACAGTTGGATGAATCCAAAGGACCTTCTTTCATAATGAGTTATATCTTTTTCAAATAACCAGTGGTTCCTATGGTTCACATAGATTGTTGTTGTTGTTGTTTGTTTTTACTGGTGATTGAATTTAGGACCTCATGCTGTTTGGCAGGTACTGTACCATTGGAGCCATCTCCTAGTCCTTTTTGCTTTTGTTATTTTTGTAATATGACCTTATGTTTATGCCTAGGCTGTCCTCATCCTCCAGTCTATGTCCTGACTGGCTGGCACTACTACAACCTATTAATTGGTTAAGATGAGGACTCACTGACTTTTTGCCTGGGTTGGTCTTGAATTTCCATCCTCCCGATTTTCTCCTCCTCCTGAGTAGCTGTGATGACAGGCATGAGCCACCATTCCTAGCTCATTTACATATCATTGATTGGAGTACTTAAATCTCATTGGCCACATCCCTAAAGACATGTCTGGCTGGAAGAAAAGGTGGGAAGGAACTGGAGATGTGGCTTAAGTGGTAGAACACCAATTGTGGATTAAAAAAAAAAAAAGCCAAGTGAAGTGTGAGACCTGGAGCTCAAGACCCAGTATTGAGACAAAGAAAGAAAGAGGGAGGGAGGGAGGGAAAGAGAGAGAAAAAAGAGAAAGAGTGAAAGGAAAGAGAAAAAAAGAGAAAGAGGAAAAAGAGCAAGAGAGAAAAAAGAAAAATCAATAGGAAAAATGGGGTGTTTCCCAAAATATGATGTCTTAAAAAGGACTTTATATTAGATCTTGAGGACAAATTATTTTATTTGAGAGTAATGCATAAATTTAATTAATTTTAACTGATTTGTTACATATAGGACTTCTTTCATGCTGCCAGGAAGAACCAAACTTTATTTTCTAAAGTAAATGAAGAAAAAACAGTTTTTTTCTTACACTTACTAGGAATAGATACAAATGGACATGCTCACCGACCATCATCAAGGTAATTGTAATGCTATGTTTAATTTAATTTTTTTTAAGGAATGTAACTTTTCTGTTTTAACTTTTAACATACTATATAATACTTTAAGTAACTGGGTAATGTACAATAAGTTCTCAGTTATATACAATAGCATACCATAGAGTGGTTAAAATTACATGTACTGAAGCCACACTGAGATTGAAAATAAGTGAAACTCTTATTCTGTATTCTTCATTTATCAGGGTAGAGAAAATGTTTAATTGTATGTATATGTTTCAGAAATATTTTTCAGTACATTTTGAAGCAAATTATTTTATGGTATTAATTTTTCTATTTTGTGCCAGTACTGGGGTTTGAACTCAGGATCTTGGGTTTTTTCTCAACTTTCTTGTTCAGGATAGTGCTCTGCCATTTTTGCCGTACATCCAGTCTGGCATTTTGCTGGATAATTGGACATAGAGTCTTTTGGGCTTTTCTGTCCAGGCTGGCTTTGAACTGAGATTCTCAAACTCAGTCTCCTGAGTAATTAAGGTATGAGTCATTCATGTCTGCCAATGTTTGCAGCTCTGAAAAGATACATGGTTCACTGTATGTTCCATTTATTAATATTATATAAAAGAAATAAAATTTTTATAATCTGCATTTCCTAACATTCATTAAATATGAAGAACAAATATTATCCTCAGTTTTCAGACCATAAGAAAGAAGAAGAAACCAGATCATGCTTTTATTTTTTTATGTGGAATCTGTTTTATATTAGTTTTCTATAAAGTATACTGATTAACTGCTAGTAGTGAATACTTCATATCCTCCTTGTTGAACATGTTGCACAATTTAAATGATGGAATATGTGCATATCATGCAGTCTTTATTCAACCGTATGGAAAACCTAGTATAATTTATTCAAAATATAGAATTGTATTTTATATCACAGACATTTTATAGATGAAGAAGTGTCATTATTTCAATGAACTTGTGCTAAGTGATCAGACCCAGTGTATTTTGTTATGATAGACATGAACTTGAAAATCTTTTTATAAATCTCACTTAAGACTTAAAAAAGAGTTAATTGAAATAGACTTTCTAATCAATACTCTCCTATTAAGCCACCTCTGAAATCTATTTCAGATTCCTTAGTCATTATAAAAGTATTTTCAATAATCTAAAGAGTCTGACTTTAAAATACTAAATATTAAATCTAAAAGCATTTCTTTGTTCCTGACTTTGAATGTAATGAGTCTACCTTAAATAAATTTGATTTCTCTAAGTTAATTTAATTTGCTCTTCTGTTTTTTTATAAACAGAGAATATAAGGATAATATTAAAAAAGTTGATGATGGAGTGAAAGAAATTGTGTCTATGTTTAAACATTTTTATGGAAATGACGGAAAAACAGCATTTATCTTTACCTCTGACCATGGAATGACAGCCTGGGGTTAGTTTGCCTTTAAGTGATATCTATTTTTCAATGAAAGTATTGAGAAATGAAGTTTGAGGTGATGAGACGTCGTACTATGTGCAAAGTGTCTAGCAAGTAGTAATTACAAGCTTAAAATGTTGTTGTTGTTGTTGTTTTAAAAAAACCACTGATATTTTGGGTGCTGGTGGCTCACGCCTGTGATCCTAGCTACTCTGGAGGCTGAGATCTGAAGATCGAGGTTCAGAGCCATCCTGGACAGAAAAGTCCCCATTAGACTCTTATCTCCAATTAACCACTCCAAAACTGGAAATGGTGCTGTGGCTCAAAGCGGTAGAGCACTGGCCTTGAGCAAAAAGAGCTCAGACAGCGTCCAGGCTCTGAGATCATTCCCCACACTAACAAAAAATGAAAACAAAACTTTGATCTTACGTAAAAAATCGTTTTCTTATAATTGTACAAAAAATATATTGTTATTAGCAAATGAAAAGTAGAAGAAAATTAAAAGCCCCTATTATTTATCTACCCAGAACTCACTATACATTATGGCAAAGGGGTGTGAGGTTGAGACAGCATTATTAAGACTTAAGACAGCTGAAATCTATGTGGATGAATCATGCCTCCTATGAGCTTCTCAGTGCAAATGTAGTTTGTACTCAGAGAACAGTTTAATGTAGAAATGAGATTTGGGTCCCAATCACAAGATAGAATTCTAGTGGGCTGAGTTGCATTTTTTAAAGGGCTTCTTTAGCCATACCAGCTAGAGTGACTTGGAAGAAAAGAGTCCATATACCTTGCTGTCCTCTTCAGAGACTACTTGCTCCAAACCGAGGAAAGGTTATTTCAAAAAGAATTCTCCCTGTTTTGTCTTTAGTGTCTTTAGTTGTCTCCTTTATCATTTGTTATTTTGATTTTTCTTTGTTTACCTAGAGTAACTAAGAAGGCATTTTGGGTCTGTCCTTCCTTCGTTCCTTCGTTCCTTCCTTCATTCCTTCGTTCCTTCCTTCCTTCCTTTTCTTTCTTTTGTCTATTATTGATGTTCTGAATTTGTTTAATGGGATAATTTTTCAAACATTATTTTAAAAAGTTGTATTTGGGATTTGTTGTGTAGACTTAACTGTGTATGGATCAAATCTTTAGCCATATGTTAATTTTTTATGGTGCTGGGGATTGAACCCAGGGTCTTGGTATGCTAGGCAGGTGCTGTACCACTGAGCTGTATCCCTAAGTTAGTTATTACTTCTTATATGACTACTCTTGGTATCTTATTTATAGGTTCCCATGGAGCTGGTCATCCTTCAGAGACTTTAACTCCATTAGTCACTTGGGGAGCTGGAATCAAGTATCCACAGAAAGTATCAGCTCAGCAATTTAATGATGAATTCTTGAAAGGTATGTCCATTTGTATTTATTGCTTTCAGAAATCACACATTAAGATGAAATAAGATTTTAGATTAATTGGGGCTTGAACTCATAGCCTGGGCACTGACCCTAAGCTTTTTTGCTCAAGGCTACTGCTCTACCACTTTGAGCCACAGCAACACTTCCAGTTTTTCCTGCCCAGACTTTCTTGCCCAGCCTGGCTTCAAACTGTGATCCTTGGATTCCAGCCCCCTGAGTAGTTGGGAATTCAGACAAAGGGTAACAATGCAACAGCTGAACTCACTAAATAATATGTCAGAAATGAACTTTACAACTTGTGGGGGGGAGGCAAAGTGGAAGAAAGAAGAGGAAGGGGTTACAATGTCCATCAAGAAATGTACTCATTACCTTATGTGTGCAACTGTAACCCCTCTGTACATCACCTTGACAATAAAGTTAAAAAATAAAAATAAAAAAGGAATACAGGTGTGAGCCATCAGTTCCCAGTGCTTTTTCTCTTTTTGTAGAACCAATTATTAAACACATACCAGCATTCCAGTATTAATATTTATTTATACCTTTCTAAGTATCTACTAAACTAATTTTTGAATCTTGTTTATTAATTCAAGTATGAGTATGAGGTTTCCTTGATAATGATTAAACGAATAAAAAAAATCCTAGAATTTAAGGACAATTGTAAATTTGATTAGTTTTCTAACCCAAACAGAAAACACATCAGTTACAAAATCCCAGTATCTAGAGTATATATCCATTAGGGAAAAAAATAGATGTATCATTGTATTTTGTTCCTAGATCCTGATAAAGATGGTAGGGCATAGTGAGCAATGTAGTCAGCAACACATCTACAGTAAATAGTCGAACATTTTTTTTCACAAATGCTATTTCTTACACATTTTTTTCCTAGTGGATATATACTCTAGATACTGGGATTTTGTAACTGATGTGTTTTCTGTCTTTTAGAATGGAGATTGGAGAATTGGAAGAGACGGGATGTCAATCAGGTGACCATTTCAATTTAATTATGTTCAAATGCAATTTATAAGAAGTTTAGACAAAAATGTAGTAATAATAATCATGACAGAACACTAGATATATGTCAGTTATCAATAAGAGTAAGTACAAATGTTTTAGCCTAACCAATCTCTTTGTGCCCAATTTTTTTGTACTAGGATTTGAACTCAGGGCCTATTGTTTGGCCCTCTACCATGTGAGCCATGCTTCCAGTCTGTTTTAGTCTTCTTACTAGTTTTGAAATAGGGCCTCACTTTTACCCAGAAACATACCTGGACCTTGATCCTTCTAGTTATACTTCCCATTGTGCCTAGAATGATATGTATAAGCCACCATGCCCATCCTTTTTTTATTCAGTTGAGGGATCATCTGTTTCTTTGTCCAGGTTGGTCTGGAACTACAGTCCTCTCAATTTCAGCCCCTTGAGTATTTTAGATGACAGATGCATATGACCATGACAAGCTATTGGTTGAGATGGGGGTCTTAAGAACTTTTCACTTGAGTTGGGAAGGTGGCTCAGTAGTAGAGTGCTTGCCTTGCATGCATGAAGCTCTGGGTTCGATTCCTCAACACCATATAAGCAAAAAAAGCTGGAAGTGGCGCTGTTATGTCTCAAGTGATGGAGTGCTAGCCTTGAGCTGAAGAGCTGAGGGACAGCGCCCAGGCCCAGAGTTCAGGCCCCATGACCAACAACAACAACAAAAAAGAACTTTTCACCTGGGCTGGCTTCAACCATGATCATCCTAATCTTTACCTAGTAAGTAGGATCTAGGATTTCAGTGTGAGCCACTAGCCTCATATGGAAAATATTTTTAAAGTCAAGTGAAATTAAGAGAAGACTTCCTCCAAATAATACTGAAAAATTGTTATACAAATTGAAATTTGCATGCTTGTCAAGTTTCTGTGAGTTCTGTCATATCGATTTCTTTGTTGATACCTATACACTTATCAGAATTAAACTTTTTCTATTTGTAGGCTGATATTGCACCATTGATGGCTTCCCTTATTGGAGTTCCCTTTCCTCTTAATTCAGTGGTGAGGAATAAAATTTATTATCAATAATCAATATAAAAATTATACAGTCAAATTTGCTTTTACGTTTCTTTATAATCTTTAACTACATTTAAAACTATGTTCTTATACATTTATTTTAGGTTTGTTATACCTTATATATGAATATCTTATAATCTCTAACAAGCCCAGTATCATTTCCTTGATTTTTTAAATTTTTAAATATATATTTTTTTTAATCTTTGTATTCCAATTATAAGTAATAAAAATGTTAAAAGTACCTTTTTGATTATAGAGACAATCTTTTTGAAAGAGAAATTATTAAAACAGTATTGATGGTTTGTTGAATCATAGGTGATCAAAAACCAGGCTTGGGGATGAAAATCCATGAACCAACAGCACTCACAAATCACCATAGTCCTGTGACAGGACCAGTATGTTCTGGGCACCACTGTGAGACTACAGTAGCATTATAACTGTTTTAGTTTCTATTCCTTGACTCTCAAGAATCAAATTCCAGATGTTCTGGCCTAAAGTACTTGCCTATCCTTCTCCGGGGAAAAATAGGGACCCTGATTACAACCCAACCATGCTATAGACAGTGCATCTTGTTTCTTAATAGGCATCAGTTATGTTATTAGGAATGGGCCTGGGCTGAGTTGGGCAAGATGTAGTAATAATACTTAGAGCACTTTTCAACACACTGATAAATCCCCCCAAAAAATCAACTTAAAAAGAGGAAAGGTTTGTTCTGGTTCACAGTAGTAGGGCTCTCAGTCCATTCTGGCACAATATGGTGCGAGTATCTGGCAGAGCCAAACTGCACAAGAAAGTGAAAGAGAAAAAGAAAAAGACTGAGGTCCCACAGTCTCATTTGAAGATATTCTATTGCTCCAGACTCCTTCTCAAAGGGTTACTCCCACTAGACTCTACCTCTAAAAATGTCCATCACATCCAAATAGCAGTGAGTAGGGCACAAGCCTTTAACACATGACCCTTTAGGGGACACTTAAGATCCAAGCCATAGGAACAATCTCAATCAATGTTAGGTTTAAATTTTATTACATTTGTTTTATTTATTACAACAACTTTGTGAGAAAAATTATAGATCATTGCTGAATTAAAATGTTCAGAAGATTTTTTTCATTTAGTCTAATAATTCATTTGTTGAGACATCATCTTTGCCTTTGTGTAAGTCTGTTGTTTTATTAGAATAGCCTGAGCATTATTAATACAAGGCCATTGTTCTTTATTTTCAGGGAACCCTTCCTGTAGACTATCTTAACAACACTGATCTCTTCAAGGCAGAAAGCATGCTTACCAATGCACTACAGATTCTAGAACAGTTCAAGGTAATTTTTAAAAAGACACATGTACAACACTGAAATTTTGAAATTGAATATGTTAAGTGAAAATATTTGATTATGATGATAGTTTTGAACTCAAGGCTTTGTATTTGTCAGGCAGACAAATTAGTGAGTAATGCCTCTAGCTCTTTTTTATGCTAGTTATTTTAGACATTGGGTGTTGCTTCTTGATGTGTACATCCATGCATACACATACACTAAGGCTATGATCTGCCTATTTTAGCTTTTCCTCCTGGCTAGGCTTTCAGACTCAAATCTGTATCCAGCTCTCTATTGAGAAGTAGACTCTAGAATTTTTCTACCCATGCTAGACTTGAACCATGACCCTACCAATCTTACCCTCCCAAGTAGCTATGATTACAGGTATGAACCACTGGCACCTAGCTTTTGGTTTTATGTTTTAATAAGTTATTTTGTGTAATTTTCTCCCAGTTTTGCTTTTTTACCTAGTTTCATGTTTTGTACTATAGACTGACTCAGTACCAAGAACAGGATTCTCTCTAATTATAAGATTATCAAGGATGTTTTAAAGATGCTAAGTCAAATCTTTATTGCCCCATCGACAGTACTGTTAGAGCTTGCCATATCTCTTGTCATTTCATGTACATTGTTGGATACATGAAGAACATCGAGATGACTCTGACTAAATCTTTGCCTTTTCTTTAAGAATTAAGGAGAATACTGTTTTAATTGATAGCTATATATGTTATTTTGCAAGATTATTTTGCTTAAGTCTCAGCTTACTGAGATTTTTTTTCTTAAGTATTTATGAAACAATATATTAATGTAAAACTTCATTTATTTTCAAAGTAGTTAATCATTCCTGAAGAGCCATTTTAATGACTGTTTATATTTCAAAATGAAATGTATTAATTTTTTTCTCATTTATAATGTAATAAAATAGTTTCATGCTTGGTTCCCAGGTGAAGATGACTCAGAAAAAAGAAGCTACTTTACCATTTTTGTTTACACCATTTAAGTAAGTCTCTTACATTTTTAAAATTAACTTGAAGTAATGAATTTTTGAAGCTTTTGGTACTGATGAGATAGATTACTTTGTTTCATGTACATTAGTGTAAACTCGAATTGAATTTCTATTGATTAGATTAACTAATGGATCATATGCAAGATACCCTTGAATGGTTAGAAGAAGGGATAGAGAGGTAGAAAGATAATCTGAGAAGTATTGAGGAGATGGCTTCATCAGGGCTTACCTGACTGATGGGGAAAGTATGGGGGCAGTAGACAGTATGACTCCCTGGCTCTTGGCTTGCTTGATTAGGAAGATCCTGGTACCATTATGGTTTATAAGAAATGAGCTAATTTGAGAAACAAGCTCAACTTTTGTTTGAAGATATCAATTAATTCATTAGAAATGGGGCTTGCATTTCATGAGATATGAATGTGTTGCAAAGATTTTGAAGCTATTAGCATGAAGATGGTGGAAACTACCAAACATGTAGGAGACTCTAGAGGGAATGTAGAAAGTGAGTATTTCACTGTTGTTCATAGGAATATATTGTTTACTTAAATGCTCTTAAGTTTGGGAGAATTTGCTTTGGGATATGGTGAGCTCAAGGTGAGTGCTCTACCACTTGAGCCACAGCGCCACTTCCGGTTTTCTAGTGGTTTATTGGACTTTCCTGCCCAGGCTGGCTTTGAACTGCGATCTTCAGATCTCAGCCTCCTGAGTAGCTAGGATTACAGGCTTGAGCCACCTGCGCCCAGCTTGATAGATTTTTTTAAACCATCCTTTTATTATGCCTTTAAATATTTTCTAGAGTATTATGAATAATTAGTGAATAATAAAATAATTTCTAAGGTTATTAAATAGTAATTTTTTTCCAGTACTGGGGCTTAACCTCAGAGTGTGGGCACTGTCAGTTTTCCCCTCAACTTTATCTGCTTAAGGCTGGCACTGTACCACTTGAGCCAGTTCTACTTGACCTATATATAAGTGGTTAATTGGAGATGAAAGTCTTGCATTCTTTCCTGCTTGTGTTGCCTTCAAATCTTAATCCTCAGATCTCAGCCTCCTGCGTAGATAGGATCACAAGTGTGAGCCACCCGCACCCAGTTTAGCAAATGTTTTAAAATACAGAAAAGTAAGATTGTTAAAATCCTACACATATCTTTAATTTGTAAAAAGGTCCAGTGGGTTCATTTTGGAAACTGCATATCACATTTTATCCTATTTTTTAAAATAAGTAACTTTTCTCTTTGATATTTTAAAATCTCAAGGAAGAATAAAAATCTTGCAGTATTCCTTTTGAGAAATATTTAAAATTGCTCAAAAAAGAAACTAAAAGTCCTGTGGACTCTAGTGGTATGCCAAGGAGTGACCAGCAGGTGGAGCTATACGACCAAGAGAAGCAAAAAAGCTACGTGTACTTGTGATAGTACCTTAAAAATGACAGAGGAAAAAAACCCGCACACACTGTATTTCAGAGGTGCATAAATTGAGAGGAAAACTAAACAATGGGAAAACATTTTTTTTAGCACCTGAATTTTGCCAGATGATATGGAAGGTGTATTTGTTTTCTCCAGCTGCTGTAACACACTGCTGCAACCTGGGAGGCTTAACATAACAAAAAATTATTTTTTCACAGTGCTGGTAGCTAGAGTTCAAAATAAAGATGGCATCAGGACCATGTTCCCTTCAAATTCTCTAGGGGGAAGTGGTACAGTAGCTCAAGAGGTAGAGCACTCGCCTTGAGCTGAAGAGCTGAGAGACAGCGCTCAGGCCCAGAGTTCAAGCCCCACGACTGACCAAAAAAAAAACAGAAACAAAAAACAAATTCTCTAGGGAATTATTTTTCCTTGTGTGTGCATGACTTCTGGTGGCTGGCTACTGTCTTTTTACATTTGCCTTGTAGATGTATCATTTCAATCTTTATCAACATTTAACTTTTGTTCTTGTGTGTCTATTTCTATGCTGTTCTCCTTTTAAGAACACTAGTCATTGGAATTGTGACACTCTAATCCTGTATTAATGTATCATAGCTTGACTGTAGCTGTATATTAGTTGTATTTCCATTTCCTTTTTCCCTTTTTATTATATCTGTAGGTTAATTGTACAGAAGAGTTGCCAATTAACAAAGCAGTTTATGAATACAATGTATCTTAATCATGTCACCCCTTTCAACATTCTCACTCATTCCTCCCCCACCCACTACTTCCCTCGTTCTTCTTAATTTTGTAGGATATACATTGGGATCCTTGACTGCACTTGTTAACAAAATACATAAGTCAGAAGGGAAGGTTTACTTGGACAGGATTTGAGAGGTTTCAGTCCATTGCTGTGATTGTATGGTGAGGCCATAGACGAGATCAGGGCGAGGATGGTAGAGCAGTCTGCTCACCTCAGTCAGAACTATGTTCTCTAGGACTGTCTGTGCAGTCCTTCTCTTCTCTGGTGATCTCCTATGAACCCTATATGTTCCAAAGTTCCTTGTTTAGATGTAAATACCCACTGAGGCCCAGTGTTCCTAATTATGTTTCTCGCTCAGTGACCTAATTACTTTGAAGTTTCTTTGTCATTTCTCCTGGCTGGCCTCAAGCCTTTTATATTTTTTTCTTATACTTTTTTTTTTTAAGCCACAAGCTTATCCCACAATCTCCAAAGATGGATGCTTGGGAAGCCTTCAGTTGGCCACACATCAACAGATGTGTCCTAAAATAGAAGTTGAAGAAAAAAATCAAATACTGAAAAAGAATCCAATTGTAATCAAAATTCTAAAAGAATTTTTAAAAAAGAATCCAAAATCAAATTCTAAAAGAATCAAGTTATTTTTTACCTAGTCAAATTTTGAAATTCAGAAATGGTACATTTTCTTGTTGTGATATCATAAGTAGTAGTTTGTAGGAGGGATCAGGTGTCTGTTTCTAGAAGTACAGTCTAGACAAGCTCTCTAGTACTGTGTTCTACTACTCCTTGCTCTTGCATTTGAGAATTAGGTATGATTAGATGAAAACACTGATTTCAAGACAAATTAATACTGTACTAGTGTCTGGGGCATAATTCAGTGGTAGAATGCTTGTCTTGCATTTATGAGGGCCTAGGTTCAATCCTTAGCATCTTAAAAAAACAAAAACAAAAAAACCACAAAAACCAAAAAAATTACACCTTCACAATAAAATTACTTTTTTAAAAAAAGAATCTTATGAGTGAGCATTTATAAGCATAACAAGTCCATTATTCTGTTATATAATTACATAAGGATGGAATTTATTAATCATTTTTTATTTATGGAGATTAAAAAAAGTATTATAAAGAATTATTCCACAGTGGTGGAATTTTAAGAATGGGAGTCATTATACTATAATTGAATTAAAAGAATCCAGATTATAACATTTATACTTCTTTAAGAAAGGCAAGTTTATCTAATTTAAAATAGGTAAATATTCTACAGTTTATTAAAACATTTTAAGGCAAGAAGCTTGCAAAACTATAGTGGAGTAAATATAAATCATAACCTTTTTAGTCATCGAGGAAAAATTAATTCAAGTTGACGCATTGTTTCCATTTTAGAATTAACTCCCCAATTTTTTTCCTATGATAATGTGGCTAAGTGAATATTCCCACAATTTCGGCCTAAATCTGTTTAATCTATTTTCTGGAGATTAAATTCCACACAGTGAAGAACCTTAAAAAGTGTTTATGATCTTTGACTGATACCATCCAAGAGTCTTGGGTTCTTTGTTTTCTCCACCAAATAAAGAATAATGAAAGCAAGGGAAGAGGTGTAATATTTTCCAAAAGGAAATATACTCATTAACTGACTTATATAACTGTATCCCCTCTGTACATCACTACTATAAAAACCAATTTAAAAAAACTAAAAAAAATTATGAGGCAGACAAAATGGAAACAGAGGCAAACTTCATTTTCTTCAAAGTGAGAATAAGGAGCCAGGAAGATTAAGGAAAGCATCTTAACTACTGGTAAATTGCTACAAGCTCCAGCCAGGACTCCTTGCTGGGAGGAAAGCCTTATGCTGTATGAGGTCCAGTCCACCTGCTTCCCAGGCGAGGAGGAAGAAGAAGAGGGAGAGGAGAGGGAGGAGGAGGAGATTGTAGACTTCATGGTACAAGCAAATTGGGACCAGAAATTGGTAGCCCGATGTAGGGCTCCCGAGGTCTCCCTTTATATCTCTTTTGGGAGTGTGTCAGTTGTCCTGGCATCTGGTCAGGTCACTGTCCTCTTGCCCCAAGGGGAGAGGTGAGGTGCCTGTCCTTTGCTTCAGGGTCATCAAAGGCTTTGCTTTCACCAGGGCTTCTTTCACTTTCCAGGGTCTCCAGGAAGAAAAGGGGGCACTGTCTCCCTATCTGTCTCTTATTGCCTTCCCTCAGTACCATTGTGTAATAGCTATCTTCAGGAAACAAATGTGAAAAAGTCTCAGCCCCTAGATACTCATCACAGGATAGTTTCTAATCGAAAGGGTGGAAATCATGTCATTGAACAACAATATGTCTGTTAACTAGACTATAGAGTAATCCTTAAACATCCTGTTTTCAGATATTATGTCAGCATGTTTATAAGATAAATGCAAGTTGTGAAGTTACATGCATATTTAGTATTAAACCTACATTAAAAACATGTGTGTGAAAGAAAAAGATAATTTGTGCTTAAGTAACTTTTATATTTTACTTTTTTTGTATTTATCAATTATTTTAAAAATCATGTCTTCATGGAAAATTATTTTAAGAGAAGCATTTCTGTTTATAGCTTTCTGGAATATATACTATAAAAGAAAAGTAAAGTTTATAACAAAAATAAACAAAATATAAAATAAATGGGTTTTACTTTGTCAGTTTGAACATAGGTTTTTTTTTTTTTAATGGGAAACAAGACTGAAAAAAATGAGAACAAAATTGTATTTGAAAAGGCGCTAAGGCAAATTATATCTGGCATTTGAAGACATATAAAAAGAGCAAAAGAGAGTATTGCCTTTCTAGACAGGTTAAGAATTTGTAGTTCCTTCAAAATAATGATTTTTAAGGCATAGTCAGTAACCAGTGAATTGAATGAAATGATGTTCTCTCCTTTTATGAGTAATAAAATTGAGACTTTCCAGTCTTCAGTCACTGCTAGTAAGATGCAGAGCTGAGACTTGACTCCAGATATTCTTTCTCCTGATCTGATGCTCACTCCTCATTCTTTCTATCTCAGATGCTATATTATTTCATACTTTTATTGTTTGAAAATAGCTACTATCAGACTTTTTCTTTTGGTTAATGTAGTGAAATTTGGTATTTTGTTTGTTTGTTTTTTTGGGGGGTCCGGTTGTGGGTCTGGGCACTGTCCCTCAGCTCTTCAGCTCAAGGCTAGCGCTCTACCACTTGAGCCACAGCGCCACTTCTGGCTTTTTTCTTTTTTCTTATGTGGTGCTGAGGAATCAAACCCAGGGTCTCAGGCATGCAAGGCACGCGCTCTACCACTGAGCCATCTTCCCAGCCCGAAATTTGGTATTTTGTTAAGCAAGCATAGGTTTTATGTATGTCAGTAGTATAGTACATGAAGTCAGCATTGTGGAATGCTTGATTTTAGAATATCTAATCTACCCCCGTTGATGTTGTTATGCGTTAGTCATTCATTTTTCTCGAAGCCTAATCTTAGCAGCAGTCCAAAATAGTATAAACATAATAAATTTTCACTGTGAAGAAATTTTTAATGATGTAAGCCAACAGCTTTTATACCATTACTTTGTGGAAAAAGTTACTCTGTTTCATGCATGTAAGCAAGTACTCTGTCATTAGGTTATACCCTGAGCCCTGTGTAAATGAATTTTTAAAAAAAATGTTTAAATCTTGCTGAGCGCTGCTGGCTCACGCCTGTGATCCTAGCTACTGAGGCTGATATCTGAGGATCATGTTTCTGAGCCAACCGAGGCAGGAAAATTCATGAGACACTTATCTCCAATTAACCACCAGAAAACTGGAAGTGGTGCTGTGGCTCAAAGTGGTAGATTACTAACCTTGAGCTCAGGGACAGCACCAGGCCCTTCAATGCCCATGACCTAAATAAATAAATAAAAAGTAAAAATTAAATATCTCTATGATGCTCCATGTGTTTTTATTCATGATTGACTCATAAAACTAGAATTTAAAAAAGACAATTATTTCTCAACTCTTGTTTTTTCCCATTTTTTGTAGACACAAATATATGATTAATTTTATGATACAAGAAAACAGTAGGTTTCCTTTTTCCATGTCTTTCCAGGTTTTCTACTATGAACTAATCTTTCTTATTTGAAATTTTGCTGTTCCAACTAATTGTCCTAACATAGGAACTAAACATTCCATTAAAATTGTTTAGGTATTTCTTACTATACCAAACCCTGTCTAATATCTAAAATCAAAATACTGACATTGTCCACAGTGTCATATTCCTTGTTATACTAATTTGCTATGAAATTCTTATGTCTTACATCACAAAGTAAAATGGAATTTGATGTATTGTGTGGTACCAGATTCTAAATAGCCACCAGTTTCCTTACTTTTATATTCACCCTGTTTTTAACAACTCTGTTTGGTTTATGAAATAAAGGATAATACTCTTTGAACATCCACATTAATGTATTATAGTAGGCTTTTCAGCCATTCACTTTGTAATGTGCTTTGTTTTTTTTCTCTAGACATAGTGTGTTTTCTGTCATCAATAATAGTATCTCTTCATCAAGCAATATATTTTTATCATTTCAACCATTAAGATTTCAACTTTTTTTTCTATTAGTCTCTTATGTTTGTTAGAATTGTGCATTCCATTACTGCCTTATTCTTTATAAGAGCATGAGAGCTAATTAATGATTCAAATATTCCGAAGACCTTATGCAGTATTGTACCTAAAGCTTGTATAATTTCATGAGAAATAGAAATATAGAGATGGAGGGGGACTAAACGTATTGCTCAGGGGATAATGCAATGACCTAAAAAGCACAAGCCCTGGAGTTCAGTTCTCAGTACCACAAAATAAGAAAGAGATAGAAAAATCTGATGCAGTGTTTATTGTTGTCTAAACTCTTAAATGTCAATACCTTAACTCTTTTCTTTAAATAAAATCCTAGTCTCTGGAAAAAAAATTCTTGTAACAAGTAAATCATAAATGACTTTTTTCAAAAGTAAGAATAGCTGATTACAAGGTCTTCCTTATTAACATCTGAGAAATATTTTCCTTCCTGAAGCCTCCTCCTCTTTGCTATGTTAAATAATGTGTTTTCTTTAGCCTTGCTTGAAGGGAAATTAATTTTCAACCCTTTAATTGATCTTGCCACTATTATGAATCTTCTCAAAACTCCTTGTCACTATTTTCTTTTATCATTTGAGAAGCAAGAAGTACTTAAACAGCTGCATTAAGAGGACAGTGTGGTAAAAATCTGTTAATAGATTTTGAGTATTATAAAAGAAAATTGGTTAAAGTGAAAATAATCTACACTATTAAGGAAGTTAAATAGAATTTTGTTGTTGCTGATGATGGTGGTTATGGGCTTGAACTGAGGGCTAGGGACTATCCCTGAACTCGTTTTTCTTTTGCTCAAGGGTAGCGCTCTACCACATTGAGCCACAGCTCCACTTCTGGTTTTCTGGTGGTTAATTGGAGTCACATGGACTTTCCTACCCCGGCTAGCTTTGAACCATGATCTTTAGCTCTTAGCCTTCTCAGTCAATAGGATTACAGGCATAAGCTATTGGCACCCAGCTAGGTAATTTTTTTCTTTAACCCAGAGCAAAAGTGTACATTAAAAAGAATTTTTTTCTTTTAAGATCCTCAAGTGTTGACTACATTGGCAGCTATAAACTGTAATTTTTATTTTTCTAAGATTGCCAAAGGCCCCATTAGATTCTCTATTCTCTGGCTGCCATAATATCTCCAAATTCTTTTGTCCTGTGTCAATAATGTCAGATGTCCTAAAAATTAAATTTGTAGAAAGTTTTACTACTTCTCATTGGTTTCTCTAGGATTTTAGCTCTTCAATTCTTGATTGTCTTGGTGCTTTGAATTGATTTTTAATTTTATTTCCCAGGCTTTCTTGTTCCTGGTGGCCATATTAATATCTCCAGATTTCTTGGTCATAGCTAGAAGTATGGTTAAACTTTAATGCCTTACTGTTTTTTAAAAAAATTGATTATTAAACTATTAATAAAGATGATGCATGTACACATTAAAAATTACACAAACAATCATAAAAAGTTTTTTCTCTGTTGATGTAGTCTTACAGTCTTTTACTCTGGAGACAAAAGTACAGTTTATTATTTCACTGTACATACTATGTTGTATATATGCATGTATGTGTATATCCTACTTATTACCTTTTTAATTTTGAAATAGTTTACATATTCTGAACAAAATAGATTATGACAAAAATTCTTGTTTTAACTACTCAAGTTCATTTGATGATTCTGGGGTTTGAATTTAGGACCTTATGCTTGCTAGACTGATGTGATATTGAGCAAGGACTTTTTTCCACTGGTTGTTTTTACAATAGTCTTGGCTTTGCTGCTCCAGCACATACGTGAACTGTGATCTGCCTATATTTAGGCTTCTCATCCTCACTGGGATCACATATGCACTACTATGTCTACCTTCCTTTCTGTGAAGATGGAGTCTTGTGGACTTCTGTTTTCAAGCTGACCAAGGATCCTCCCAATCTCAGAATCTCATGTAACTTGGGAAGACAGGCACAGGGCACTGTGTCCAGCCAGTGACTCATGAACTTTTCTACCATGATCTTCCTGTCCTAAGTAGCTAGGATTTTAGTTGTGAGCAAATAGGACCTAGCTGTATTATGTTAACTGGGCTGGAACTTATGTTTTAGACTAGAACTAGAACTCTATATATTCTGAGTGTGTTTGTGTGAATATATATATATATATATATATATATATATACACATATGTATGTATATATATGTGTGTGTCTATATATAAAATGAGAATATATATTCATATATGTTCATATATTATGTTTGTATATAGTGTTATGTAATTTTGTGTGTGTGTCAGTCTTAGGGCTTGAAATAAGGATCTAGGCACTGTCTCTGAGCTCTTTTGCTACCTTGAGTCACAGCTCCACTTCTGGCTTTTTGGTGGTTAATTAGAAAAAAGAATCTGACAGACTTTATCTCAGGCTGGTTTTGAACTACAGATCCTCAGATCTCAGCCTCCTCAGTAACCAATATTACAAGCATGAGCCACTGTTTGAAAAAGGGGTCATTTAATAAAATATAATAGAGGGAATGAACTTGTTCAAAGTACACTGTATGCATTTATAGAATTAACACAAACCCCTCATCATATCACTGTATACTTATAAAAAATAAGTGAGCTGGGTGCCGGTGGTTCATGTCTGTAATCCTAACTACCCAGAAGGCTGAGATATGAGGATCACAGTTCAAAGCCAGCGGGGGTAGGAATGACTGTGAGACTCTTATCTCCAATTAACCACCAGAAAACTAGAAGTGGTGCTGTGGCTCAAGTGGTAGAGCATTCACCTTGAGCTGAAGAGCTAAGAGACAGTGCCCAGGCTCAGAGTTCAAGCTCCACAACTGCCAAAAAAAGAATAAAATTAAAATTTGAAAATGAAAGGAAATTTGGGTCAAGAAAAGTAAGTTTCTTAGAAGAGTTTGGATAGCCAGCAACAGTACAATTAGCTTTAGTTTTCCTTCATTTTTCACTTAAATTTTTTTCCAAATAAGAATAAAACACAAGAACAATATAATTAAAATGAGTATACTCCATAAACCTATGTACTTTTTTCTTTTGTAGGTTACTCTCAGAGTCTGAACAACTGAACATTTTAAGAAAAGCAAGATTTTTTATGAAGCAGGAGCAGTTTGCAGAAGTGGTAAGTGCATAGGCCTTATGGACATGAATTGCTGGTTATCTTTTTGGAGTGAGGGAAAGATAAGATGTAGCAATAGGAATCTTGCTAGGCCTATTAGGGAGCTTTCTGGAGTTGCTGCTTAAGCATGTACATAATACTTCTCTATTTCTCATAATAGCATGGGTAGATTTTTCTGTGTTAGTATTAGACATGAACTTTCATAACTGAAAAAAATGAATTTCAAGTTAGTCACCTTGTTATATATAATATTTTTATTATTAATTATTATTATTATTATTTTGTCGGTCATGGGACTTGAACTCTGGGCTTGAGCGCTGCCCCTCAGCTCTTCAGCACAAGGTTAGCGTTCTACCACTTGAGCTACAGCGCCACTTCCGGTTTTCTGGTCGTTTATTGGAGATAAGAGTTTCACAGACTTTCCTGCCCAGGCTGGCTTTGAACCGCAATCCTCAGATCTCAGCCTCCTGAGTAGCTAGGATTATAGGCATGAGCCACCGGTGCCCGGCTATGTATAATATTTTAAAGTACTACATTTAATATTTATCCCACCTGAGTTAGCAATTTCTTAATATCTGTGAATATTTTGCTGGGGTACACTAGAGATGAGTACTGAAAAATTTTGTTCTTGGACTTTGTTTTTAAGATGTAATCTTTTCCTTTATAAACTAGTAGTAGAATCAGATTGACCATTTCAAAATGTCCTTTCTCTGATCAGAAACTAAAAGTATTGTCAGTATCTCATGATGGTGGATACAAGGAGTTAATATTAGATTTTTTAAGATGTGTCTTAATCCAAGTTAATGAATGAAGCTATAGGCTGGTTTAAATAAATAGATCATAACACTGTAAAAAAATTATCTCTTCAGAAGTCTAATGGCTCAGAACTTTGATCCTTCCAACTGCCACCACACTGTGTTTTTCATTTGTCATTTTTTTCAGTCATTCATTCAATTTCACAGTATGGAGAACCTCATATGGTAGGCTTATTTACCTACCTCTTAGCTTTATCCCCAGCCCCAGTCCTCTTCTCTTTTTCCTTAGCCCTCTTTTCTCTTCTCCTTCTCTTCCTCTTCCTCCTCCTCCTCCTTCTCTACAGCTCCTCCCCCTCCTCTCCTTCTTCTCTCCCCTCCTCTCCCCTCCTCTTCCCTCCTGTCCTCTCTCCCCTCTCTCCTCTCTCCTCTCCCTTTCTCTCTCCTCTCCTCCCCTCCCTTCCTCTTCTTTTTCCTTCTAATTTGGTTCTGGAGATTGAATTCAGGTCTCCTGCACTTGCTAGTAGAAAAGCACTTTTTTGGTTTGGAATTTTTTTTTAGATAGGGTGTTCTAACTTTTGCCTGACTGGCCTTGAACCGTGATCCTCTTGTCTCCATCTCCTGAATAACTGATTTGTTTTATTTTTGAGGAAGGGTCATACTAAGTTGCCCATGCTGGCTTCAGCCTTCAGATCTTGACTTCTTACTAGCTAGTATTCCAATTGTGTTTTACTATGGTCACCTTAGAATTCTGCTTTCATTTTCCAAGATGCCAACTCATGTATTCCTAATATTGATTTTTTTATTATGTTTTTAAAATACTAAATTAACCTTCTCTAAAGCATTAGCCTATTTTACTGATGTTCTAGAGTAAATGTAATTAAACTGAGAAAGTAAAACATGTGTGTGTGTGTGTGTGTGTGTGTAGTTATACCCACAAACAAAGAAATTTCCATCATTTGGGATGTTGTATTAGAGAACATTAATATCTATTATGTATCATCTGAAGATCAATTTTTGAAAAATGAACTAATTTAAAATATCAGATATATCATAAGCACATTACACTAAAATGCCTTTTCTTGTCAAGATTAAAGAGGGGTTTTTTTTGTTTAATCTTGGCATGAAGATCTTCATAGTATTAGAATCTATTCTTAGATCCCTGTGTAAAATTACTCTAATTTCTAATTCATTACAAGGGTTTGGCTTTTAGGAACTTTTACAATTTTCCTGCCTTTGAATTTTTTTGTGTGTGTATTTTCCATGTGCAACTTATATATTTTTCTTCATAGGTCTACCTTTGCAAGGAGCTGATTGATCGTGCGCTGAAAGGACTGTCATATTATCACACTTACGACAGATTCTTTTTGGGCATCAGTGTTGTCATTGGTTTTGTGGGATGGATATCATATGCTTCTTTGTTGATCATCAAGTCTCATTCCAACTTTATAAGAGATGTTAGTAAACCAGTTAAGGTAGGTTCAGAGAATGTAATGAAGATTTAGATAGTGATATAAAAATATGTAGTGAGTTCACAGAATGTACAACTCATTTCTATTAAGCTAACTATCTTTCATTTGCTTTTGATATATTGGACCCTTTTTCTATTACCTCAATTTATTTAGTGAATAAGAAGATAGGTTAATTAATTGACTTTGACACTTGACAGGGCTAGGAAGATATGTAAATAATTTAAATTCTCCTATAAGCTTAATGATTTTTTTTTGTTCCTTTTTTTTTGTCGCTTGTGGGGCCTGAACTCTGGGCCTGGGTGCTGTCCCTCAGCTCTTGAGCTCAAAGCTAGCACTCTACCACTTGAGCCACAGTGCCACTTCCGGCTTTTTCTGCTTATGTGGTGCTAAGGAATTGAACCCAGGGCCTCCTGCATGCAAGGCAAGCACTCTAAAACTGAGCCACCCTCTCAGCCCCTTTTTGTTCTTTTTTTAAAATAACTATTTAACATGATGTGAGTATTCCACATACTTACAGTACAGGTGATTATAAAAGCACATCAAAGCAATATATTTAACTTTATCTGATAAGAAGTTTAAAGCCTAGAAAAATGATAAAATTCTTTGCTTAAAATGTTTCTCTTTACATAATATATGAACTTTTCTGGAATTATTATTCTTTCAACTTTCTTCAATTTCTCAAAATACAAACTTTCAGCACATTTGATTTATCCTTATTTTAAGAATGTATCTGTGCTTTCAATGAAAATAATTCAAAACTTGTCTAAACAGGAAATAGAATAGTACATATGTGGGTTTACTTCATTAGAACACTGCTCTTTTAGAAGATATTACTAAGCATCACTTACCAAGAAAAGTATGCTATTTCAATTTCCTCTGCTTCAGTCTCACTAATGATTATCGCTAAATCCAAATCCTTTTAAATGTAATATGTTCTGGTGGTATACTTCTAGTAATAATAGTCTATAAAAATATCCACTAGTTTTTCCAATTTTACATTTATTTTTCTAAACTGGAGGGGAGAACATTAGTGTTTAATTTTAATATTTTATAATGCTTTAATACATCTTAAATAATTCTCTCATGTAAGTTCAGTTATTTAAATGTAATTGAATTTGGCTATAATAGGAAATATTTTTATACATGGTAGAAAAAATACAGAAATGACTGTTTTAGAAATAGATATATCTAGGCAATCTAATGAATACTTGAAATATACAGACTCATAAAGTGCTGGAAGTAAGCATTATAACTTTTGTTTATAAAAGTTGAAAGTAGCCAGGTATTGGTAGCTCATGCCTGTAATCCTAGCTACTCAGAATGCTGAGATCTGAGGGTCCTGGATTGAAGTCAACCTAAGCAGGAAAGCCTATGAGACTCTTATCTCAAATTAACCAGCACAAAATCGGAAGTAGCACTGTGGCTCAAAGTGGTATAACAGTAGCCTTGAGCACAAAAGCTCAGGCACAGCACCCAGGCCCTAAGTTCAAGTCCAACAACCAACAACAAACAAAGTTGAAACTGAAGGTAAGGGTATTAATTCACTAAACCAATCAATGAGGATAGAGGAACTAACACTGAAATCTGTGACCAAAAATTGCTTTTTCAAAATGTTTGTCTTTAGTTTATTGAGAAGGGTATTATGATGTTTTTAGAATGATAGAGCATTAAGAGAACAAATCATTTTTATCCATTAGTCTGATAATGTAGAGAATATTTGCGTCAACAGTACAATGCTGGATACTATACAGAGAAATAGGAAGTTGAGATTTTATCCTCAAGTATCTTAGAATTTAAATAAAGTAAGAGATATACACACACAACCACCTTTTTAGATATTGATCATTGTGTCTGTATTACAAACAATAATATGTAGGTTTTGGAGACTGTATAAAGATTATCATATTTTAAATAAAGTAGAAGTCAGCTGAGCATCATGGTAAATGACTGTAATTCCAACTACTTGGGAAACAGGCAGGAAGATCTCAAGTTCAAGGCCATTTATGCCTTATCTCAAAAACCAACTACAATCAAAAGGTCTGGGAATGTAGCTCACAATAGAATGATTACCTGACATCTGTGAGGCCCTGGCATCAATTCCCAATAACAAAAAATAGGACTCACTTTAGCTCAGACAATTACAGGCAAACGCAAGTCTTGATGAAAGTTTAGCAGTTGGATTGTAGGGTAAGGATAAGAACTAAAGTAGATTGAATGATACAGAGAGAACTTGACAAATATTCTACCATGTTCAGAGAATAAGATACCTTAATTGAGACACACTGTTATGGGAGTGTCCTGTGACATTATCCTGTTAAGTTTAAAGTTAGCCAACCTTTAGTGATTACAGTTCTCATGATATGAATAGAATTTAGGCTTAGCAAGATTACAGGTCTTCTTCAAGAATGTACAGACTCAAAATGACAGAATTTATATTGGATAACACAAATTCTTGCCTTTTCTATTTTATGCTGCCTTTAAGAGAAATTTGGGCAGAATGTAGAGAATTTGTTCAAGGAAGTGATAACATATAATACTGACAGTATAGACTAGAAAAAAGTAAACAAAGGCCTCAAATACTGGTATTTGTACTTCAGTGATAAATTGTGTATCAGTTGGGGCTCAACCAGAGAAATAGAACTTGAAGTTAGGAGCTGAAGCTGCACTTAATGGTCACATTTCTTCAGGGAACTTCAATTCTACTTCTAAAGCTGATGGAATCAGGCCCACTCAGACTATCTAGGATTATCTTCGACATACTTAAAGTCAACTAAATAGGACTAGAGTAGGATATATGCAGGATATATGCATGTATGGAAATGTCACAGTGAAACCTATTAATGTTTACAATTAAGATGTTGATAATTATAAAATAGTGAAAAAACAATTACCTAGCTATGAACTTATTTGCATCTCTAAGATACTTTTGCAGTACTACTAGATTAGTATTTGAAATTGGAGACAGTAGCCAGACAACTTCACACATAAAACTGACCATTATAGTTGAGGTCATTTAAATTATTTTGGATCCTTTGGTCTGTCTATAAAAATATTCTGATTCCTTTTCAGTGAGAATTTTCAGTGGGAATTTACACAACTCACCAGTTTCTAGGAAAAACAATAGTCCATAGTCTACAGCATTAACTGAAGGGGTCTTAGAAAGCAGTTAGATGATAGTAATACAGTTGCAATGCATATACTAGAATGTACAATGTTTACCACTGGTATGTGTGGACTATTCTCGTAAGTTATTTCCACAATAGAATATTAAAGGTGGGTCAAGTAGCCCAATAGAAAAAAGAGAAAGAATAGTATGTGGATAGTGAGCAGAGAGGTAACAGGTCTCTGGGAAGAGCCATGGGAGTACTGAGGGCCTAATAAAGGAGGAAAAGATGAGATTGCAACAAATATTATTGTCTGTTCACCACATCAGGAAACAGCATCAGACCTGCTAACTGATTTAGTCCATTGACAAGCAAAAAGAATGGCAGTGTCAGAATTTAGGTTTGATTCCAAGGCTTATGCCGCTCTATTGTCCTCCAGAATCTAGATGTCTTTTTAAATTTATTACTATTACAGGTATGTTCAATGACTAGTTCTTTCCTTGAAATGTAGTTTTCCATAGCTTCCCTTTTTTGAATTCTATTTAATTTTGGTATATCCATGGCTGCTTCTTTGTTCTTGCTAGTTCAGATGTCTTTTGCTTTGCAACTAAATTTTCAGATTTTTGTCAGTGCTTACTCTGTTAAGTCTCACTTGCTCCTTATTACGCTCCCTATTACTTAATAGAAATAAAAATATAAGATATAAAATCCTCAAATCAAGTAGTGTGTGACTTAATAAATACATAGTTTGTTATCACTTGTTTTTGTTTTTTTTGGGGGGGGAGGAGGGAGAAAGAGTCAATTTAAGATTAAGTATGAAATGTTTCCTACTATTAAAGTCTTTTCTGTTTTATTGCCTTAGTAGGAATAGCTCAAACTACTGCATTTCTTTATGTTCTAGTTTCCTGTAAATAAGTGTCATTTCTAGTGTGGATTGTGACATGTATCAAAGATAGATGATTACACCATATTGCACTGACTCAAGAAAATCCAAGTGGCTTTTTTTCAGGTACTCTTACATCCTTCATTTCTTACCACTTCACTATTTTCAAAACAACATGAACTCTTATAATTAACATCTATCTACCTTACCTACCTTCTTCCAGAAGGAGGTTCTTAATTCTTACCTTGTTTACCTTGGCTACAAAGCAAGGGAAAACGTAAACATGGAATGGAAGCAAAGGAGCTCCACATTGCCTTTTGGTTCCTCTCCCCTCCCCCCTCTCTCCCACTTTTCTTTTCAGGTATTCTTAACCTTTTCTAGAATACTATATACCCGTTTCTAGCTCCTGTTTAATACCCTAGAACTCTTGTTCTTAATAGCACCACTTCTCTATAAATTTGTCTTTTTCACAGTTGTTGGAATATCTATTCCTGACTCTTACAGTACCATTATACTTGGCCTAAAGCATCCATGAATCTAGTCTATGGAAGCTGTCACTCACCACTTACACTGAAGAATGCTCTTGGTTGGTAGGTTGTTGGGAAGAGTAGCCATGACTGAATAAACCTACTGTGGTTGGGCCATGGAGGAAAGACACTGTAGGCTGCATTCCAAATTGGAATTTAAACAGAAGCATTGTTCCAAATGAAGGTTAAATCCTAGAGTTTTATTATGGATTAAGTAAACTTTTGTGTACTAGCCAGAGAACTCAGTTAAAAAAATTGCAGATAAGAGGAAATATATTCAGTGTTCTGAAAAACCACTTGCAAATAAACTTGAGGACTATCATCACTTTTAAGCCAAAATTGCCTAATTGTAACAATAATTCCAGTCTATCCAGCTTATTCTTCAGTAAGATGCTTCTCAAATGCTAGATTTTTCTTCTTAAATACAATTCTTTGATTAATCTAGTTGTAGAACCTTTGAAGGAAGTAATCTTTTCTACACTTTATAAAATCTCTTTGGAACATGTCAGTTCCCATGGTTTGAAAGTGTTTTTCTATGTTTCATTTGATTTTCAGAAACCAAACCACCTCCTGTCAAGTAGTTTTGTAGCTATTGGAGTTTTGGTGATATTTTTCCTGCTGATTCAAGCCTGTCCCTGGACTTACTATGTATATTGTTTATTGCCAGTGCCAATATGGTATGCAGTTCTAAGAGAGTAAGTAACACATCCTTTTTCCTTGTTTCTTACTTCATCAACAGTTAATTCTGTGTTTAAATTCATTACATTTTTGTACCATAAGTCATCAAAAATATAATCAAATTTCCAGGCCCCTCACTTCATTGCTAACTGATAAATGGTATGTATTAATCATCCTTTTGCCGTTTTACTTTTCCCTTTTATCTTCATCTTTTATTATACTGAGGTAACAGTGCCCTTATTTTCTTCTTGGTGTATCTTTAATTAATAATATGAAATGAAAGTAACTGGAATGAAAGTAACTTGATTAATACTGATTGTAATATACCATGAGTACCTTATATTTGAATTTATTTTATCATGTCAGATCCAGACTGTCTCTTGTTTTATTTTGCCCTTATTAGCCATCATGTAAAGCTAGATAAATGAAACTGTAATTAAATCAAACACAGTAACGTATTCTGACAGAGATTAGTACATATTATTCAAGTACTACAAATGGTTCTACTACCTTTAAGTACTTCCTCATAAATTTGTGTTAATAACATAAATTCTAGTCATTTTAGAAAGCCTCAAAAATAGGTGGACAATCAAGTTTTAGAGATTTTTAAGGGCATCATCAAGATTGGTTCACAATATGACTGTGTTGGACATGCCTGTAACCCCAGCAGTAATGCAGTAGAATCTAGAGTTTAGAGATAGCTTGTGTTATATAAAGAAAAAAGAAAAGAAAAGAAATATCCTCTCTACCTGATTTATGTAACTTAACCTCTCTTTACATTGCCTTTATAATAACAATAAAATTTTTAAAAAAGAAAAAAAAGGGATGGACATATCCTATTAAAAATGAAGGCTTAAAGTTATCAAAATGTTAAATGCATCAAAAGACAAATAATACTAAAAATATTTAAAATCCTAGCTATTTTTATATAAGGCAAAAAGACACTGACCAAAGAACATACTGTTACTTCTTCTTTGAAAGGAATAGAGTTGTTAGATCTGCTTATTCAGATATTTTCCTAATACTATTTTCTTTAGCTTTACAACTTTTAAAAGGTTTATCCTTATAGAAAATCCCATTCTACTATAGAATTCCTCCTATATTATTAAATATCCTAATTATGAAATAAATTTAAATTTTAGGGAAGATATAATTTTGAAAATATGTTATATTCCATATTCACCTTTCTTGTAGAAAAATGTCCTCAAAGTGTTTGTGCAGAGTCATCTCTCATTCTTTGCCTCACTCACTCTTGAAAACTAAAGAAGCATTCTGCTTTTAACTAGTCTTAGCTTTTCTTTCCTACATGGCACCTTAATAATTTGATAACATTCTGCAGCCACTGTTTTCAACCAGAAAATAAGGTCATAAACTAAATGATACTGACCTTTTATAATTGCCTACTTAATGCACTACAAATGCTAAACTTTTTCTTTCCAATGATGAAATGTAAAAAGTACTCAAGTATGTAATACATTTTTGATGGTTATAAATTTGCTATTACAATTAGTATACAATTAATGACATTCTAGATTGGGTTTGGAAAAGGTTATTTAGCTCAGTTAAAAAGTGAAATTGAGCCTGGCATGGTAGCTCATGCCCATAATCTTAGTGTGAAGCAGGTAGAGGCAGGAGGCTTGTGAATTTAAGGTCAGCCTGAGTAACTTAAGGAAATCCTGTTTCAAAATAAAATTTCATTCAGAAATGAAGTGTAAGGATGCAGGCCATTGGTAGAACACTTGCTTAGACATGCACAGAACCCTGGGTTCAATTTCCAGTACTGGAAAAGAAAAAGTAAAATTAAAATTTCTCTGCCTGAATTAAAAAAAGAAACTTTAGTTTCATTAAGATGGTTGAGATTTTAATATAAACTTACCATAGGGATATTTACATTTTTTTCTAGTTTGCATGTATTTGTATTACATTTTATTTCTGATTTTATATCTGTAATTTATGTACCTGTGTTTAAACTGAGATCAAATAAGAGTCACACATTGTCATTGATGTTTGTAAAAACTAAACTGTGTAATCATTTCTAATTAATTCAAATTACATTTTTTCCTCAAATATTTCTATATTCTGAACAAAATCAATAGTAGAGCCCTTCAAAGAAATCTATTAATTTACTTAGTTTTAAAGTAACCTATGAATTAAACAATCCCTAATTTGAAGCTTTGTCAAAGTTTTTACTTTTTGCTCTTTTTAAATTCAATTCCTAGTATAGTGTTTTATGGATTATTTCTTATAACAGATTTCAAGTTATTCAAGACCTTGTTACATCACTGCTAACTTTTCCTCTGAGCCAGTTGGTTGGGTACTTGTTCATCTTTACCTTGGGAATCGAAGTGTTAGTAAGTAATTTACGAGATTAGAACATTGGCAGATGTCTTTCATGTATATGTAACTTATATTAAATGATCTCAATTCTCATTTTTTTGGAACTCATTATTAGGTTCTCAGTTTTTTCCACCGCTACATGCTTACAGCAGGACTCACTGCATTTGCAACTTGGCCATTTTTCACTCATCTGTGGACTCGAGCAAAGGTATGTGCTTATTTTGACATAGTATACTTTAGTAATTACTTTGTTCTGATATGGGTTTAGCTCACAGGACAGCCTGGTCCTTTTTAGTCAAGCACTAGCACATCTTGCTCTATTAAGGCCATTCTTATGTTTACATTTTGTTGGAGGTTTGTGGGGGTTGTTTTTTGTTTGTTTGTTTGTTTTTGTTTTTTGTCTGTCATGGGGCTTGAACTCTGGGCCTAGGCACTGTCTATAAGCTCTTCAGCTCAAGGTGAGCACTCTACCACTTGAGCTACAGTGCCACTCCCGGTTTTCTGGTGGTTAATTGGACTTTCCTGCCCGGGCTGGCTTTGCACCATGATCCTCAGATCTCAGCTTCCTGCGTAACTAGGATTACAGGCCTGAGCCACGGTGCCCGGCCATTTAGGTATTTTTTGATGGAAATATCTGGAAGATAAAAATGTCTTGTTTCTGTCCAAGAATTTACAAAAACTAGGCTGGATGTTGGTGATTGGTTCCTGCAATCCTAACTATTCCGGAGCCTGAGGTATGAGAATTTCAGTTTAAAGCCAGCTAAACAGAAAAGTCCATGAGACCCTTATCTCTAATTAACCACCAAAAAGCTGAAGTGGAGTTGTAATTAAAGTAGTAGAGTGCCAGCCTTGAGTGATAAAGCTAAGGGACAGCACCTAAGCCCTGAGTTCAAGCCCCAGTACCAGCATAGGAAAAAGTATTTACAAAAAAACCAACTCCAGTACATAGATTACTGATCATTTTTGTCTTAACTAATTATAAAAAGATTTTACTTATTTTCCTTCTGGACTCATTCTAGTTTTCTTACAGCTGTCATCATCAAAAAATGGTATAATGTGAACTGAATGATATTTTTATTTTGAAATATCAGCCCCATATTTATTTGTTCTATTTGCTACTTGTAGACCCAATACTACTTATGTTTTCACTTTTTTCAGCTCAGTTTTTTATTTGAAATAGGAATAGTAAGTTGAGGTAATTGAAAATTAAATGAGATAATGCTCCTGTTATACCTAATACACCACCTAGTACAAAACAAGTCCTTCATAAATATTAACCTTATTAGTTAAAAAATAAACAGCTGTATGATTTTATATTTTTTTGTCAGTATCATAGTCGCATAGTCTATGTAACACTAAAAACAAATATCTGTACTATTTTTTTTTAAACATATTTTTCTCCTTGATTTTAGATTACCTCCTTTTGTTGGACTTTCTTCTCTTTGCTTCTGGCAGTGTTCCCGCTGATGCCTGTTGTAGGTCGAAAGCCGGATATATCTCTAGTGTATGTGTAATCTTTTCTTTCCTTTACACCACAAATTTTTTTGAATCAATGCTATGAATTTTAGTCTGATGATAATTACAATTTTAAGATCATATGAACAGACAGTTAATGCTCTGAGAGTCATTAGATCCCCTTGGAGATGCTTCCAAGTCTCCACAATGAAATTATCTTTAAATTTCATATGAAAAATGTCCCATCATCCAAACAAAAAGGTCTCTTTCTTTGCCTTTGTGCACATCCACATCAACATATCTTCTAAAAACAATGGAAGTTTTTCCCATTCTAATTATCATACAAAGATCTCCCTGGGAGGAAACCCTTTATCTTGATAAGTTTTCCATTTTTAATCATTGAAATTATGTGAAAATTCTTCTGTGTACTTTTACTTAAATTTCTCCTCAACATGACCTACACGAATATGTAAAATAATTGGTTGTCTTTGCTTTTAACTATACTTTTTGGATTAATGTTGAGTAATCTAATAGCTATGTGTGTGTTTGTGTATGTTTGTGTATGTGTCTGTATACATTGCAAGCTAAATGGTTATTATTTTACTTAACATTTCCTTTCTTATTTTTTTAGTATGTAGTCATGTTTGTGACTTTTGGGGTTTTGGTACTGAGGCTTGAACTCAGAATTTTGTTCTTTCACTTGATTTTTTTTCACTCAAGGCTGGCACTCTACCACTTAAAACATATCTCCACTTTTGAGTTTTTGCTGTTTAATTGGCCTCCTGAGTAGCTAGGATTATTATATGAACAGTACTCACCTTTGTTCCATGAGCATTTGAAAATCATAACCTTAACCTTTTGTAGATAAGAGCATATCTTTTTTTTTTTTTTTTCCCTTTTGGCTGATCCTGGAGCTTGAATTCAGGGCCTGAGTGCTGTTCCTGAGCTTCTTTTGTTCAAGACAAGTGCTCTACCACTAGAGCCACAGCCATTTCTGGCTTTCTTGAGTAGTTTATTGGAGATAAGAATATTGCAGATAGCCGGGCGCTGGTGGCTCATGCCTGTAATCCTAGCTACTCAGGAGGCTGAGATCTGAGGATCGTGGTTCAAAGCCAGCCCGGGCAGGAGAGACCGTGAGACTCCTATCTCCAATAAACCACCAGAAAACCGGAAGTGGCGTTGTAGTGGTAGAGCACTCGCCTTGAGCTGAAGAGCTGAGGGACAGCGCCCAGGCCCAGAGTTCAAGCCCCACGACCGACAAAAAAAAAAAGAATATTGCAGACTTTCCTGCCCAGCTGGCTTTGAACCACGATCCTTAGATCTCAGATGCCTGAATAGCTAGGGATTACAGGGGAGACCCACCAGCGCCCACAGCACCATGCATATCTCTTTTTAAACAGGAATAGATGCTGAATATTTTTAGGTATTTGTTAGTTTAAGAAGTCTTACGTATTTTCTCTCATTTGTTGAGGAAAACCAACATGCAATATATCAGAAATTATACAAAGAAGTCAACTTCTTATCAGAGCCCAATATTTGTTTAAATTCTAAGACTATCCTAGCTAAGTTGTACTTTCAAAGTGTTGGCAAGTCAAAACCTTGTGAACCTATCATAAACATGAATAGTATGTGAGAAAATAAATTCAATTTTTTTCATTTATTTCTACAAATTGCTCTGTGAGCTCTTGTGTTGTTTCTGTAAAGCTGTTCTAGTTCCTTTTATCAGCCACTGCATATCAGTCCTTGTCAAGCAATATTCATCCTGTTGAGCAGAATTTATCATGCACTAAAAGAAGAGGAAATTGTATAGTCTCCATTGAAATTTACTACTTGCATAATCTATTAAAGAGATGAAGGCAGGAAGCAAATAGACCAGTTAAAATATGACAACTCCAGTTCTTGCTTTCTCTTGATACTTAATTTAAATTGCTCCTTGACTAAATTTTAGGTTGGTTTCCTACTATCTCTGTTTGTTAATTGATTTTGATTCCTGGCTTGTGAAGAACTTTGATCATACATGACCATTTTTTCTAAGTTTTAATGTCACCCATATTCAATATATTCATACTTTTTCCCCAATAACTCTTAGAATTTTGTGGGAGGAGTCAAGCACAGGGCTTGAACTCTGGGCTTGGGCACTGTCCCTGCGCTCTTCAGTTCAAGGCGAGGGCTCTACCGCGTAAGCCACAACGTCACTTCCAGTTTTCTAGTGGTTTATTGGTGATAAGAGTCTCACAGACTTTCGTGCCTGGGCTGGCTTTGAAACACGATCCTCAGATCTCAGCCTCCTGAGTAGCTAGGATTACAGGCATGAGCCACCGGTGCCCGACTTTAGATTTTTTTTAATCATAGACAGAATTTTTTAAAATCATAGACAAAAAACATTTTCCTGGGGACTCCATCTTTGCATTGTCTTTAGATATTTAGTCCTACTTTTTCTCTTTTTGCTTTTATTTGCTTGTGGGGTTTTTGTTTTTTGACACAGTGTGTAGCAATATAGCTCAGGCTTGCCTTTAATTGATGATCCTCTTGTCTCAGGTTCTTGAGTGTACCACCATGCTCGGCTGTTTTGCTTTTTATTTCTATGAACCAACATCTTGCCTCTCAGTTGTGTTCTATTTACATTCTAGACTTGATCTTGAACATACTTTCATTTGTGTTATTCAGAGGTTTAGGAGATAGGCAATACTTCCAGCAGTAGTTGCCTTTGACTACAGGAACCATTGTGTACTTGGGATTCTTGAAAAGCCCCATCTGTTCATTACAGCACGAAATGAATATATAATAATGAAATCAACCTACATAGCACCTTTGTGACCACTGTCCTTTAGTTAGGGCAGCTGATGAAAAGCACAAGGTCAGCTGCTATTGGTTCTACTAGAAGTTAAATGTGTATAAGTATAATTTTTTTATGAGTAGTCATAAAATGCAAATTATGCTGATACTGTATTTATTTAACTATCTTTATATTGTCGTATGTAAACTTACCCCTATTAGGCTAAGAAATATGGTAGCATATGTAAACATTTTTTAAATTTAAATAAGGAAATAAAGATAATAAATTTTGTGAAGAATGGTTACAAATAGTCCCTTTCCTGAAGTGTCTTTATCCTAAGATTCTTTTTTTTTTGGGTCCGGTCATGGGGCCTGAACTCTGGGCCTGGGCACTGTCCCTCAGCTCTTCAGCTCAAGGCTAGCGCTCTACCACTTGAGCCACAGCGCCACTTCTGGCTTTTTTCTTTTTGCTTATGTGGTGCTGAGGAATTGAACCCAGGGCCTCAGGCATGCAAGGCAAGTGCTTTAACCACTGAGCCACCTTTCAGCCCCTATCCTAAGATTCTTACTCATTATTATATTCCTATATCTATTTTGCTTCTTCATCTTGGTTAAAGAATTACTCAGAGGTTTAAATTAGATTAAAATATCTCATGTTTTCATGTTTACAGCATATATCAAGCAGATTTTTGAATTATGAATTATATTTTGCAACAGAATGAGTGCTGGCTTGCTGGTTCTTCTACTATCCCTATTTGTTGTAATATCTCTCATAAAAAGAAAAACTAATTTGGTAGAAGAAGAACTCTTGGTGTATCTGTTACAGGTCAGTTGCATATTTTCAGTATTATATTATACTAATGATCTTGTAAAATGTATCTTACAGTTTATTTGTTTATTTGTTTGTTTGTTTATTTTGTGAGGTGGTACTTTGGGTTTGAACTCAGGGCCTCATAATTACAGATAGGGTTCTACCACTTGAGCCATACCACAGCCTTTAGTTATGTCCTTATGGTGCCATGTGTTCATATCATTCAGTATCTGCTAGCTGAGAAGAAATTTTTCTCTTTAAAATAGTACACAGAAATAAGTTCTTGGGCTGGGAATGTGGCTTAGTGGTCGAGTGCTTGCCTAGCATGCATGAAGCCCTAGGTTCTTTTCCTCAGTACCACATACACAGAAAAAGCCAGAAGTGATGCTGTAGTGCTAGCCTTGAGCAAAAAGTCCCAGGACTGTCCGAATGAAAGAGAGAGAGAGAAAGAGAAAAAGAAGAAAGGAAAGAAAGAAAAAAGAAAAGAGAAAGAAAGAAAGGAAGGAAGAAAGAAAGAAAGAAAAGAAAAGAAAGAAAGACATTTTCTAAAAGGAATTAAATAACAAAAAGGTCAAGAAGTAGCTGAAATATGCCCAGAGAATAGAGATTTCAGATATGTAAGAGGCCTCTGTGTTCATCCAGGGGTGTTGAAAAGGGCTTCCTCTGACTGGGAATCTGTATTGTCCTCACTCAAAAGGCAAGCTTGTTTGAAGTGGAAGTGCTAGGTTGTGTTTATATGAAGAACAGCCAGTTAAGCCTTCAAATGATCTCCTAGAAGAAGGTGAACTTGAATTTGGCTAGTGGCTTAGGTGCAGTAAATAGTTCTCTGAACATGAAGTTTCACAATTTTGAGTTATTCTGCAAATTGAATAATTTTTAGTAATTTGACTTCAGTTTGTTTTTACTCTATGAGTAGAAATAATATTTAATGGGGTTGTAAGAAGTAGAGATTATATTATGTAATATTTTGTAAAGTACCATTTTTTTGTAGATAAGATGGGAAACCACTTTTTTTCTTAGATGAATAAATAACCACATCTAAAACATTGACAAAGAAAAAAATATCTGGAGTCTTCTCAAATAATTTCCCCAGAACAAAGCTGTAATAATAAACAATGTTTCCAAAACAGTTTGAAACAATGAAAATATTTAAAAGATGACATCATCTCTTAAATTGATACTTGGAGAACAGCAGAGAACTTATGAAAAGAAAAGCAATACATTGTCAAATGTCCTGCCTCACACTTCATATTAAAGGGTACACTGACTGGCTTTACATTAAAGACAGTAGCTTTGACAGAATTCACCTCCAATAATGAGGACTTTGACAGAAGTGGATTTTCTGACTCTCACTCTAGAGGAACAAAGAATATGATACTAAAATGCTTGCATGCTTTGTTAGAAATACCCTTGAGTATTACATAACTCCATTATAAAGTATTTTTTTCCTCCTTGGCTTTAGTAATTTACATTAATTTCTGTACTCCCTATCATTTTTATTGATTCTGATACACATTTTTCTCATTTTAATATCTATAATTAAAATATTTCACAATTGAAAGGATTTTAGGATTGTATTGTAGCTTTATTGTAGCATTTTTTATTTTTTAATTCATTGAAATACAAGAGAATAATGCGTCTCTAAGATTTGGTAATGAGACTATTGATCTGAACTCAGAGTTTAGTTCATTTATAATCATACTTTAGTTCAAGTTTTTTAAAAATGTGACAATGCATAGTTTAGGGCTCAGGAAACATTTTTCTAAAGGCCCAGGTACATTCTCTTCCTTTTTCTTTTTTTTTCCGGTCACTAGCCCTGAGCTCCTTTTGCTCATGGCTAGCACTCTACCACTTTGAGCCACAGCTCCACGTGCCTATAAATACAGGTAAATCCAATGGATAGCAAAAGAAAAATAATTACACTTGGACATGATGAATTAAACAGGTCTCTAAACATTCATACAGTGGTCTGGGGATGTGGCTTAGTTGTAGTGCTTGCCTAGCATGTATGAAGCCCTGGGTTTGATTCCTCAGTACCACATAAACAGAAAAAGCCAGAGTGGTGCTGTGGCTCAAGTGGTAGAGTGCTAGCCTTGAGCAAAAGAAGCTCAGGGCCCAGGACTGGCAAAAAAAAAAAAAATCACACAGAACAAAGGACAAAGGACAATGTTCATAAGAGAGGATCACAGGGCAGGGCTCAATAGCTATGTGCATATGATCATATAAAATAACACTGAAATGAACTTCAAGAAATGGAAACAAAAAGCTTTTTATTTTACTGTTTGCAGTTTTCCTCCCTTTAATTTATTCCCCTTTGTCACTGTTTTTTATTTCTGTTCCCTTTGTCTTTTATATAAGTTTATCTGATTTGGGAAGGGAAAGAGGAAACAGAAACGCTGAGGTAAAGAGTGAACCAATTCAGCAGTGATATCACTACACACTATACTGGAAATGAACTATATAAATTGGGGAAAAGGGAGGCAGGAAGGGAAAAACTGGGAGAAAATGAGGGAGGAGATGACACTGTTCAGAAAGGAATGTACTCATTTATGTAACTGTAACCCCTCTGTACATCACTTTCACAATAAAATTTAAATTAATAAAACAAAGCCCCAGGTAAGAAATATTAGTTGATTGGTTATAGGGAGTCTGTTACAGATTTTCTTGCTCTGTCATTTTAGTACAAAAGGCAGAATACATAAATTAGGATGAGTAACTGTGTTTCAGTTAAAACAGTATTCATAAAAATATACCACCAGCCTACAAGTTGTAGTTTGACAAAATCTACACAAATTTATAAATATTCTCTGAAACATATTTTTGCACTTTGTATTTCTGGTGCAAGATAAAATATTCAGGCCACAAAAATATGTCAGATGAATAAATTATTGTGGGGTAGGCCAGAGGTGGAAGGTACTAATCTAAACCATTTATACTAAAGTATATACCTTTTGCTCTTTTGGTTTCCATAATTTAAGAAACGTTAAACATTTATAACAAATACTTTTAAATGGAAATAGTGTAATGATGTATGTATGCCAAAACGTCTTTGAAAGTATAAAATGCTTTATGTTATGCTTCTAAAGGACTTTTACATAGTACAGGAATGATAACTCAGCCTAGGACACACAATTGGAACTGGTCCAATTTTAGTACAATTTCATTTGGATACTGGTTGTTCTCAGTACTTCCTATGCTAAGCTAACATAGTCTTTCACCACCTTCTCGCTTACTGTCCTGTTTTGTTTTTGTTTTCAGATGCTGAGCATAGTGCTTTCCATGTATGTTGTATACAGCACCCATAGTAGTCTATTCAAGAAACAAGGACTACCTCTTCCAAATCAGATTGTGAGTTGGGCAATATTAGGTAAGCAATCCCTTGAACTAAATGGGCTAACTTTATATCAAGCTAGCTATTAAATGATCCAGTTATGTCTGAATTCTTGTTATTGAAAGAAACAACTTTGTTGTAGAAAAACAGTAACCAGCTATATTCCTATCTCATACATTTATGATCTGATAACATGATTGTATACTTACTAACATCTGGCAAAAATCCAGAGTTCTGAAAGAGAATATTTAATGAAGACAATCTTAATTTTCATATCAATTTATAAATTCTCAGAAATGGCTAAATTTCATGTTTCTTTTGCTGAAAATAACATTAACTAGTCAACATGACACATTCTAAAAAATTTTGTTCTATGTTGTAGCACTGTTTTCTTCCCTATTATTAACAAGGGCAAACCAAATCTTTACTCTTCTAGAATTTATATTCTGCTTGGGCAGAGGCTAGGTATTCTATGCAGTGTTGTATGTGATGATGTCTCATGATATGTTTTAAAATCCACAGAAAACCTGAAAGTCAGGAATAGGAGATATAGTATTACAGGGAAGTCTTCTGCTATGCCATGTAATTTCACAAATATACTATCATAGAACTCACATCAGCAGATAAACAATACATGTAGATAATAAATTAGGCCTAGGTAGGCAGCCAGCTTCTCTCACTACAGTGCAGCCTTATTCAATTTCTTGGCGTTCTTACCTGTCTAGTAATAAGCCAAAAAGACAAAGGTTATACAGAATCAGACTTTGTCAGTATGTCATTATAATCTCATATTTAAACTTATAGAAAAGCTGAAAACTAGAACATTATACTCCTTATGTTGTCCTTCATTGTTAGATACATGTATTCAGTACATTTTATTTATTTTTTTAGTTAATCTAGTAATGGCCTTTATGGCATTTTTTTCCTTCCCTTGTGTTTTATTTTTTATTTTTTGAGACAAGGTCTTACCATGTAGCCTCAGTCTTCCAATGCTGGGATTACAGGCCTACATCACCACACCTGGCCTTTCTTTCTCTTTTATGACATTGATATTTTTAAAATAAAGAGTACTTCTGCACATAGACTTACATAATTTGAATTTGTCTGACGTTTCCTTTCAATTAAATTGAGGTTTTGCCATATTCGCTAGAATACTGTGTAAATATGTCCTTCTTAAGGTCAGATCTAGATGCATATAATCTCTTACTGATGATAAAATAAATTATTTTACAGAATAGATCTTATTTTAACTGACTCTTAAAATAAGCCCAGGCATACAAATCCTTGGGACTCTTATCTGTAATCTTTAAGAAGTAGAGATGTGCCTCAGGTGGTAAGAGCAACAGCCTAGAGTGAAAAAGCCAAGTAAGAGCTCAAGCCCTGAGTTCAAGCCCCCGTGCCTTGTACACATACACAAAAAAATATTTGCCAGGTGCCAGTGGCTCATGCTAAGAACGCTGAAATCTGAGTCCTGTAATTCGAAGCTAGCCTAGGCAGGGAAGTTTGTGAGACTTATCTCCAATTAACCCCCAAAAACTGGAAGTCGAGCTTAGCTCAAGTGATAGAGCACTACTCGAGCATAAAAGCTCAGGGACAGCACCCAGGTCCTGGGTTCAAGCTCCATGAGTGTTATTTCCTCCAGTTAGAGTACGTATCAGATGATGATACCATTATTATTGGAATTAACTCGCATTTGAAAAAGCCAAAAGCTGCTCATCAAAGGATGTTAGAAATATAACTTGCATATAACTTGCAAGAACTTATCATTGAATGAAGTTATCTTTAGGTTTAACTTACGAGATATTGATTAATAATAAGCTAATAATTACAGCAGCTAAGCAGTGTGTGCCAGGCATTGTGCTAAGGGAGCATTTTTTAGGTGAAATTGTTTTAAAACATACAGTAACTTTTTAATGTTATGCCAGATGAGTAATGGATAATCATCTGCTTTAGTGAGTTAACAAACTTATCCCACAATTAAAACAGTGAGTTATTCAGCAGGATTTCATCCCAAGTCTCTGTCCTCTGGAGTCCTTGGGTATTAGAAGTTCATTCTATACTTTGTCTTTCCCAAATAAAGACAGGAGGAACTTATGTTTGCTGTCCTTTGCCCCTTTCACTTGTCTTGCCTGCATTAAGACGGTCACTTTTCTTACCTTGTCAAGAAACATTACTTCTCTCATTAAGGATGACTCTTTATATAAACTTTCATGCATGGGAAGTCATTTTATTCTCTTTTCAATTTTCTCAGTGACATACTTCAAGTATACACATATGCTTTCTGATGGGAGACCTTGAAGAAGGAGAAAATTAGAAAAAAATAGGTTTCCTAGGGAATAAATTGTCTTTGCACTGAGATATAAATGCCTAATTAAGAGACAAGTTGCTGAATCTTAAGTAATATATTTTATTTCATTAGAAAATAATAAATTATTCATTTGGGACAACATGAGTACAGTGATCTAGTCTGAATAATAATTGAGAAAATCAGACTTATTTAAAGCAAAATATTGCCAAAACAAAACAATTAAACACAATGGGAAATTAAAAATGTGAAATTTCTACTTTCTTAGAGAAATCATTAGGTCACATATACATGTTAAAAGTCACACAAATGCCACAAATGACAACAGTATTTTGGGCTTCTGAACTAACATGATGTATGTCTCCTGGGGTGACAGATGATGTACTTTGCTTTATTACAGCCTCCTCCTTTGTTGTGCCTCTGCTGAGCTCCACAGCTCTCGTTCAGAGACTGTGTAGCATACTTCTTTCCTTGATGGCTACCTACCTACTTCTAAGCACAGGGTAAACTTTTTTTACGTTAATTTTATAGTAGCAAGTTTTAAATGCTATAATTGTCATTTTTGCTATTAGTATTTAAGCTCTGGAAATGACAAGCATTTTTGAATATAGAAGGATAAATAATAAATATGGAAGGATAAGTTATAAATATTTTCTACTCTATGTGAACCCTATGTGACTTGCTTAATAATCTTCTAGTTTTGTTCTCTTACCAATTTCAGACTATTTGCCTATTTGGTCTTGCTGTTTAATGAAGTTTCCAAATTTTTATTTTGAATGTTAGAAAGTTCTGATGGAGGGGGGGTATGATTGGGTGGGAGGGAGGGGGGAGGCTGGGAAGGGAGGTGAAGGGTAAACAAAGGAGGAGGATGCAATGCTTGGTAAGAAATGTATGCATTATCCTGCCCATGTAATTGTAACCCCTCTGTACAGTATGTTCTCAAATAAAATAAAATAAAATTTAAAAAAAAAAAAAAAAAGAAAGTTCTGATGGATTATGGAGGAATTTTAAGTCTCAAAGGATGACAGAAGGATTTTGATTTTTCTTGAGTTTTCCATTACCTTTCTACTACCAACTAAACTTGAGGCCTCCTACTAACTAGATGGACATTGTGCACTTGAGTCACGCCTTCAGCCCTATTCATAGATTTTAAATTATGCTATAGGAACAGAGGTATATCTCAGTAATTACGAGTGCTTCCCTAACATGTATAAGGCCCTGGGTTCAGTCCCTAGTGTTGCAAAAAGAAAAAAAAGTATGCTTCAATTTACTCATTCTTATTTAAATATAATATTTATTTATATATTACATGTATTACAATCCAAATATTCCTTTGATTGAAGGCACTGGAGAATATTTTTCCAAAAGTTAATGCAATCATTTTTACTTAGAATTGAAATTTTCTCATCAAATGAAAAAAAAACAAAGGGGCTGGAGACATGACTCAGTGGTAGAGTGCCTGCCTAGCAAGTGCAAAGCCTGAGTTCAAACCCTAGTACCACAAAAACAACAGCTAAACAAAGCAGTTTGATTTTGACATGGATTCTGAAGCATACTTTAGAATTGGTGAGGATAGTTATATACTCTACTTATTTACTTGGGAAGAAAGAATTGTTCATTTGGTTCTAAATTTTATTTAATTCATTCTTAAATCCTTATAAGGATGAAAAATGCTTACTTTATAACAAAAATAATGAATTGAACAGAAAAATAAACACTACTGGTAGTTCACTCAGTATCTTGATCCAAATTAGATTACATGTAGTGATTCACTATGGTGCTATCACCATTGCACTTTACATGACCTTGTAAGGCCATCTGGGGCCCAAGACTTGGATTCATTCCTTGGGAAATTTATTTGTCCTGATTCAAGATATTCTTGCAGTTGCTTCATAGTAGACTCTAGCATTCTCAGTGACCTAAACTCAAGAAGTTCTTCTAAACTCCAAAAAAAGGAAATGCTCCCTTAGGGGCTCTAAACCTCTTCATACCAAATTTCCTCATATTTACTGTCTTCCCTTCTTCCTATCTAACCAGCCACAAATGTGATGATATAATATGAGCATCATGGACATTTTCACTGGTTGCCTAATAGAAGATTTTAAGATAGCTTGATTTGAGATTTACAACTTTGAACTTTAAATAAAACAGTTTGTGAGCATCCAGTTCTTACTCAGCAGTAATAATCACGTAAACTCTTCACATTTTCCTCTTTATTGTTAAGACTATCAAACTTCATGTTATATTATCATCCGTCAAAGCAAAAATAGATTAAGATATGTACAAGTTTTTAGTCTATATATGAGAGCAGAAGGCAAAATCGCTTCTATTCCAACCCAACATCTGGGGTGACACGCGAATTTTATGAAGACATCACACCCAGAAAATAACTTAAATATATGCCAGGCACCAATGGCTTATGGCTATAATCCTAGCTACTCAGGTGGTTGAGATCTGAGAATCAAGGTTCGAAGTTAGCCCAGGCTAACCCAGAAGTGCTACTGTGGCTTAAGTGATAGAGTGTCAACCTTGAGCAAAAAGGGTGAAATAGAGCTTCCAGGTCCTGAAACCATGCCCCAGTACTGACAAGAAAATAAGAGAGAAAGAGAGAGAAAAATATTTAAGAAGGTAGAGAAACGCATGCTAACTTCTACACAGTCACTTAATAATGAAAAAGCCCTTTTTTTGACTCCTACATTTTAAAGCAGTAAACAAATTCAAAGGAATGTCTAGTAGATTAAAAAATATATATTAACACCAAAAATATTGTTTTATAATATACAGTGAGTTAATCCTGTAACTTACCTTGGGAATTAGTATTATAGTGTTTTAAACTGTCAGGTTAATGATCATGAGAAGACATATTATCATAAGCACATTTATCTTATTTTTAAGAAAATCTAAAAAGTGAAAGTTCATGTCTGAAATCAGAGTAGTAATGCCAAGTGTGACCATGTTAATGAATGCCTTAAAAGATATAATTATTCAACATCAGAGCCTATGTTTAGTCTATATTTAGCTTTTAAAAGGATATCTTGAAATAGCACTGTGTAATCAGTTACATTAGTACAGTTTCTGGTGTCATAACAGTTTCTAAAGCATTACTCACCTGTTATGCTTCAGCATAACTATTTTGTATAACTGAAGGTTTCTCTATGTAATTTAGTGAGTAGACAGACATATAAGATATTTACAATGAATGTTGCTACAAATATAGTAATTAGTAATCCTAAATTCTAACTATATGGCCTTGATTTAATGAATAAAAATTCATTTTTAATTAGCTTTCAACTATTTGTGTGCAAATGGAAGCTATTGTAGTACATGAAAATAATTTGTCCTCTTAAGTTGTTAGGCATTTCCCTCTGGAATTATGTTTACATTATTTGATTACTTAGCTGAATGCCATTCAAGCCCTAACAGGTTACACACAGAATAAACCGGTAGATCTTGATTCAGTAGGGTCATTACACACTCTTCAAGCTTATGATAACTTATTGATATTTTAGGTCATTTAGATTTATAAGTTTTATACAATATATAGATTCTTAAGAGATAAAGTCCCACAGGAAGATTGTTTTGATCTGATTTATCATTTATGTTTTGCAAAAAAGAAATGACAAGAGCATATGTTTTATATATATATATAGTAAAAATGTTGAACAGAGGGGTTATAGTTACATGAGTAGGGTAATGAGTACATTTTGTAGTGAGCATTGTTACCTCCTCCTTTGTTTTTTCTCCACCATTACTTCCCTCCGCAACTCCTCCTGCTCCCACCCCCACCCCAACATTGTAAAGTTCGTTTTCAACATAGTGTCCTGTACATCCTGTTGTTGCAGTGGGTCAGCCTGCATCCCCATTTAAGCCTTCTGCACTATCCCTTCCCCTCCCCAGATTACAAAAATGTATATACAAGATGCAGAACAGCGGCATCAAATCCAGTGAAAACGGGTTATACAGTGGGAGAAAACATACAAAAGAAAGAAAAGAATCACATAGTGCATTGTAAGTACATTAAAAACACTAGCAAGAAAGAAAAAAACACTAGAAAGAACAGCGCTGGAGGAATATCAATTCCAAATTTGAAACTCTACTACAAAGCCATAGTAATAAAAACAGCTTGGTACTGGCACAAGAGCAGATCTGAGGACGAATGGAATATGACTGAAGACCCAGAAATGAACCCACAGACCTATAGCCACCTAATCTTTGGCATGGGAGCTAAAGAAATAGAATGGAAGTAAAACAGCCTCTTTAGTAAATGGTGCTGACAAAATTGGTTAAACACTCGTAGAAAACTAAAGCTAGATCCTTATATATCACCCTGCACCAGAATCAACTCCAAATGGATCAAAGACCTCGAAATACAAGCAGACTCCATGAAAACATTACAGGAAGGAATAAGAGAAACTCTAGTGCTCCTTGGCACAGGCCGAAGTTTTCTTAATAGAGACCCAGAAGCACAACAAATTAAAGAAAGATTGGACAAATGACATTGCATAAAGCTGTAGAGCTTCTGGAAGGCAAAGGACATAGTTAGCAAGATTAATAGAAAACCCATGGACTGGGAGAAAATCTTCACTAGCCATACAATAGACAAGGGTCTCATATCGAAAACATACTTAGAACTCAAAAAACTAAATCCCCCAACAACAAATACTCAAAGAAATAACTGCCTGATTAATAAATGGGCTAAAGACTTAAAGAGGGACTTCTCTGAAGAGGAAATAAGAATGGCTAATAGACACACGAAGAAATGTTCAACTTCTCTAGCCATAAAAGAAATGCAAATCAAGACAAAGTTGAGATTACACCTCACCCCAGTTAGAATGTCTATAATCAAGAAATCTAGTAACAACAGATGCTGGAGGGGATGTGGCCAAAAGGGAGCCCTACTACATTGTTGGTGGGAGTGTAAACTTGTTCAATCACTCTGGAAAACCGTCTGGAGGTTCCTCAAAAGACTCCACATAAAGCTAGCTCCCTTATGACCCAGCAATCCCACTTTTGGGCATTTACCCAAACGATCACAAACAAGATCATACCAAAGCTACCAGCACAACCATGTTTATCACAGCATTATTTACCATAGCTAAAATATGAAACCAGCCCCAATATCCCTCAGTAGATGAATGGATTAAGAAAATGTGAGATACACACACAAACACACACACACACACACACACACACGCACGCACGCAGACGCACGCACGCACACACACACACACACACACAATGGAATTCTGTGCCTCCATCAAAAAGAATGACATTGCCCATTTGTTAGGAAATGGAAAGACTTGGAAAAAATTATATTAAGTGAAGTAAGCCAGGCCCAAAAAAACATAGGTCCCATGATTTCCCTTGTTTGCAATGACTAGTACATGTCTAGGACAAGCAGAGAAGGTCAAAGGCTATGTACATATGACCACATGAGATAATGTTGAGCATGTTTTTAAAGGAGATAAATCTGTAGCACTAATTGTAGAACTATTAAGAATTTTTATTTTATGGGTTGTGAAAGAATAGCTTCATATATAACTGCAAATATTTTTTTAAATCATGTTTCCCTTTTACCTGGAGTATGTACCTTCTTCATTTTCGTAATTTCTAATTAGTTTTATTTTTAATTATTTTTACCTACTACATAGACATACGGAAAGAAGTATGACCATAATGCTGGCATGAAGAAGAATTATAAACTGCTGTGAAATGATGACAATATTTTACAGTGTCAGACAATTGCAAAATGAAGCAATTAAGTTTTGTGGATTGTGAATTTTATGATATGAGAAATAACTAGCAACATGAGGCCATTATGTTCTTGTAGAAGTTGAACTGAAGCCAGGCGCCGGTGGCTCACGCCTGTAATCCTAGCTACTCTGGAGGCTGAGATCTGAGGATCGCAGTTCAAAGCCAGCCCGGGCAGGAGAGACCATGTGACTCCTATCTCCAATAAACCACTAGAAAACCGGAAGTGGTGCTGTAGCTCAAGTGGTAGAGCGCTGGCCTTGAGCTGAAGAGCTGAGGGACAGCGCCCAGGCCCAGAGTTCAAGCCCCACAACCGCCAAAAAAAAAAAAAAGAAGTTGAACTGAACTTTAAAGAATAGCCAAATTTTGTTTCTAATTTTTTAGTCATTGTCAAAACACTATCACCAATTTTGGAAAGGAAGGATAAGAGAGAAAATTATGTATTATCTCTATCTTCTTGCTGATATTCTAGTATATTGTCTTCCAGTTAATTCTGTATTTGTTTTTTTAACATAGAATTGATCATCATAGGGGCTGGGAAGGTGGCTCAGTGGTAGAGCGCTTGCCTTGCATGCCTGAGGCCCTGGGCTCCATTCCTCAGCACCACATAAGCAAAAAGAAAAAAGCCGGAAGTGGTGCTGTGGCTCAAGTGGTAGAGTGCTAGCCTTGAGCTGAAGAGCTGAGGGACAGGGCGCAGGCCCAGAGTTCAGGCCCCACGACTGGACCCAAAAAAAAAAAAAAAAAAAGAATTGATCATCATAGTACGTATACTAATTTGGATCTTTTTCTCTACCTAACATGATTTGGAGGCGTTTTCCCATGTGGGTCATTGGCTTGTATCCATTATTTTATTCTTTTTATTGTTGTCAAAACGTGATGTACAGAGCAGTTACATAAGTCAGGTAAAGAGTACAGTTCCTTTTGGACAATGGCATCCCTTCCCTTGCTGTCTCCAAGTTTTCCCCTCCTGTCATTCCCCCACAAGATGCTTCACAGGTCATTTTCAACAGACTGTCTAGTGAGTACCACTGCTGCATTTGTTCACCATTTTCCCCTCCTTACCATTATAAAGACAGTTAAATGAACAAACAAGACATAAAGAAAGAAAACAAACAGCAGCAAAGAAAGAAACCTCTTGTTTCCGTTTCTTGGAGTTCATTTTGATAAATATTTTATATGATCAGAGGCACATAGGCATTGCACGTTTGTGTTACTTCCCTAAGACTATCTTCCTTTGATCTTACTGTATGTGGATTCCTAGAGTCCTGTATAATTTATCATGTCCTTGTGTATTTTAGATCATCTAGCTTCTGCAAATGAGAGAAAACCTGCCTAGCCACCATTCTAGTAAACATTTGATATTTTGTCATACACACACTTCTACTCATTTCATTTATTTCTAATTTTGTTATCATAAATAGTACTGAGCCACATTGTTATGCATTCTTTGTAGTTTAGATATTTATTTTGTTTGCTTCTCAGTATAGCATAAGTCGTTCATTTGGTTTTAAAATTTTTTGGCAATATTGAACTCTGGGCCTTTGCTTGCTACGCAGGTACTCTACTACTTGAGTCATGCCCCAGTCCTTTTTTGCTTGGATTTGATCTTGGCTCAATGATCTCAGCCTCCTAAGTAGCTGGGCTTACAGGTGTGAACTACGACACTCACCTGAACTTTTTTTTTTTTTTTTTGGTCCAGTCGTGGCGCCTGAACTCTGGGCCTGGGCGCTGTCCCTCAGCTCTTCAGCTCAAGGCTAGCGCTCTACCATTTGAGCCATAGCGCCACTTCCGGCTTTTTTTCTTTTTTGCTTATGTGGTGCTGGGGAATCGAACCCAGGGCCTCAGGCATGCAAGGCAAGCACTCTACCACTGAGCCACCTTCCCAGCCCTCACCTGAACTTTTTTGAAACTGTTATTTGTCTGAAGAACAGTACCATTTTATAATAATACCAACAGACTATAAAGTTTCCTATTTCATCATTTCCTTAGTACTATTAGTTTGATGTTTTCATTTTTAAATAAAAGTACCAAATTCTGCCTTAATAGGCCATAAATGGTCACTGCTTTGTACAGTTTTCTGTTCTTATTTTACTAATAATATTTTGTCATGTATATAATATCTATTCATGGCTTAGACATTCTAAATCAAGTATTTTGTGTGGGCTTTCTCAATCCCAGACTTTTCTGCCCAGTTTTTGTTTTATAATTGTGGTAGAATCTAACGCATAAGTTTCTTTTGCTCTCTTCAGTTAGCAAATAGTGCTTGATGTATAGAGTTCAGTGGTGAAAAGTTAAAAGGGAAATAGGTTTTGTTTGTCTTCTTTAGTTCTGGTGTTTCCAATTAGACTAGTAACTCACTTGAAAACCCTTTTTGTAAGCCAAGTCTGCAGTGAGGAACAGAGAGACTGAATTCAAAGAGTTTAGATACCAGTAGGAAATATATACAAGTAAACTTTTTTTGTTTGGGGTTTTGTTTGTTTGGGTTTGTTTTTTGTTTGTTTTTTTTTTTTTGGTGTGGGTACTGGGGCTTGAACCCAGGGCCAAGCTGCTGCTCCTGAGATCTTTTTGGGCAAAGCTAGCACTCTAGCCACAGCTCCACTTTTGGCTTCTTGTGGTTAATTGGAGATAGTCTGCCTGGGGTGACTTTGAACCATGGTCCTTTTTTTTTGAGTTCTTGATATATAGTTTTAAAAGGGCTTCCAGTGAATACATACTTCTGTAAGAGAGCATGGGAATTTGTTTTCATTGTTCTCTTATCAATGCTATATTTTTATTATTGACAAACATGATAAATTCTATATTTCATAATTGCTTTGATTTCTATACCATATTAATAAGGTCAAACATTTTCATGTTTTTGGCCTACTTATGTATATTGTATAGTTGTTATTTTTATTTTTAGAATTTCATTGTAAAGGTGATGTACAAGGGGGTTATAGTTACATAAGTCAGATGAGTACATTTCCTTTTGAAGTGTCAGCCCCTCCCTCATTCTCTCAGTTTTTCCCCTCCTGACTTCATCCTCCCCACTGCCAAGTTGTAAAGTTCATTTCCAACATAGTGTCTAGTGGCTTTCACTGCTGAATTGGCTCACCCTTTGTCCCATTGTTTCTGTGCTTCCCTTTCCCCTCCCCAAATCAGATAAACTTATATACAAGACATTATTGTGTTACTGTGGTTGAACTTAGTGTTTCACATGAGCCATGTCCCCAGCCCTTTCTGCTTTAGTTTATTTTTCTGGTAGAGCTTCTTGATTTTCCAGGCCAGCCTTAGACTACAGTCCTCTACCTTCACCTCCCAAGTAGCTGGGATTACAGACATGCTCCACCATACCCTTTTTATTTTGGGGTTTGTCTTCCTATCATTGTACCTATAGTTTTTAAGAAATATGAAATGTTTGTCTTATTATCCTATATATATTAATAATCTTGATTTCAAAAGTATCTTTTTACCTTTATGTTAACATTTTCTTTCTCTTTGAGAAATATCTGCTATAATTTTATGAATTATTTTAAATATCTACTATTTTAAACTTACACCTATCTCAAGGTTTAATAAATTTAAAATAAGATAAGATTAGAGTTGAAACTTGCATGTTATTTTCTTTCCTACTATTCTTCTGGAAAGCCTAGAAGATTTAAATTTTGTGATTGTATGAAGACTTACAAATGCTATCAAGATTATTTTAAGAAAGATTTCTCAGTTTGAATTCACATTTTTCTTTGTTTACATTTTCTTTTCATTTCTGCCCTCCCTCCCCCAACTTTGTACCTCTTAGATATGAAGCTCTATTTCCACTGGTGTTGTCCTTTTTGATGTTTTTCTGGATACATATGGAACAAGAAACCCTACAACAATCTGGTGTGTCCTGTAAACGGCAGGTAGCTCATCCAAGCCACGTGACATTTAAATGAAAACACAAACATACTGTTTGCTCTGAGGAAATTATCAGTGTTTCTTCCAAAATTCTTCATTCTTCAGATTGTAGCATTAAAATCACATTAGTTAATTACTCATGACAAATTTTATGTGTCATGAGTAATTAAGTTAAACAGTTAACTACATCAGGAAGAGTTTTATTTATCACAGAAAGGCACAGCTTTGCTGTTTTAGTGATTACTTGAAAGAACCACTACTATAATAACAGCAATTACTTGAGAGAACTACTGATATAATAACATCAATATATGTGAATGACTAAGGGAGAAATTAGTGCCCTTTACTTTATTCTCCAGTTTTCCCATTGCTTAAGTCAGAAGAATTTTTACATTGTCCTAGGTTAGTATGTAAACTTGATCCTGTGATGACTTCTGAGCCCATTGCTGTGTGTCCAGTCACCCTAATCTAAGATGCTTTTGTCCTTTTCATAATTTTAGCTTCAGACAATCCTAGGCTACTTATACAACCCAATAACCTTGGGATTGGCTAGAAGCCAACCAGAATTTATGTTCACCTTTATCATGCTGAAGGAAAGCATTAACTTGGTGTCTCCTGTCTTTTTTAGAACTGATGGTAATCCTAAAAAACTAGTGATAACAGGAGATGGGAAGGGATGGGAAGGGGAAATAAAAAAAACAAAAAACTAGTGATAGAATAGCTCCACTTTTACAGAGTCAGATGGATGGATATTGTAAAACACTTGGAGTGTTGATTCGCTGAAAGGTTTCCACTTGAGTATATACAGACGACTGATAGTTCAGAATATGTAACTTCAATACAGGAGAAACTGTTCAAGTATACTTAGTAATTCTGGTTCTTAATTTTCACTCCTGAATATGCAAATAATGAAAAACATGAAAAGAAATTTTTATCAGGTTGATGGTAAATGGTTAGAAATGGTCCTTTTTATTAAATATTTCAGCAGACTAACTGAGGATTGTGTACCACTTTTTAAATTATATTTTTTTAACTGAAAGCAAGCCTGTCTTTTTCTAAAAAAGAGTATCAAAGCACCACAGAAATTTATGGGGAAATTTCATAGGCCTGATAGTGTCTGGCATGGGAAAATCTTCTTTTAAACTCACCAATCAATATCTTTTGGAAGCATGATTAAGCAATATTCAGTTTATTATAGCTGAGTGACTTTCCATTTTACCCATGACAGGACTTTTTTGTTTTGTTTTTTTAAAAAATTCATGTCATTTTACTTTAATTATTTTATTTATTTTTGAACCATACTGAAACTTGAATTCAGGTCTCATGCTTCTTAGGCATGCACTCTACCACTTGAGCCTGCTCCACAGCCCTTTTATAATTAATTAATTAATTTTAGATAATATCTCGTTCTTTTGCCTTTGCTTGCCCTGAACCACAAATCTTCCTATCTCTACCTCCCAAAAAAACTGGGATTTCAGGATTTTACACTTGGCTCAATTTGTTTTTTGACATAGAGTTTTGGCAAATTTTTGCCCAGGCTGACTTTTAAACCATGAGCCTACTGTCTCTGCATCCTAAGTAGCTGAGATTATAGGTATATGCCATCACTCCCAGATCTCTTTTGCTTTTGTGTAGAAAAAAGTAATATATTTGCAAATATAACAGGAAAAAGAGAAACATTTACTTTAATATTATACTGTATCTGAGATTAAAACCAAAACAATGAGAAATCACATCTTTGAACAGAGATTTAAAAATGGAATCTTTAGGGATTGGGGATTTAGCTCAGTGCAAGAGCCTTTGCCTAGCAAGTTTGGTTCTCATCTCTTAAAAAAAGAAGAAGAAGAAAGGAATGTTTACATAGAATAGGGAAGTGCTCCTTTTTCATATTAATTACACACACAATAACACTGCAACTGTATTTAGTATGCTATTATTATTATAATTATTTTACCTGTCTATGGATTTTATTACAATGTAATTAAGCTATAGAAGATTTCTTGTTGGTTTTTGGTTAACATGAGACAAACTGACCATGGTAACTTAGCCATTGTTAGTTTGTCTTTGTGTGTAGATGTGAGCCAGATGTTTTTGTACATTGATACAACTTTTCTTGCCTTGTAGCTCAACAGTATCCAGTTCTCTTATAACACTGACATAGCTCAGTTTCGGCAGCTTCATCTGGATGACATCCGTAGAGCCTTTTTCCTTGTATCCTTTGCTAGGACTTTTTTTTTTTTTTTTCCCAGAGCTGAGGCCCGAACTCAGGGCCTTGTGCTTGCCAGGCAGGGCTAAACCCCCAGCCCCTGCTAGGACTTTTTGTCTTAAGGTCTGCTATTCTCAATTTCCCCTGCTCCATTTAGAAGAACACAAAAGCTTGTAAGAAATCATATGTAACTGCAGTTTATCTAAATCCCACCAGCCCCTTCTTTCTTCATTTCTACCATCACTTCACAACCCACACAATATACAAGGATCAAAGGAAATTGCTGTCTGGTATGCCTTTCTAAATGAGAAAGAAATTGTTCTACTTGTTTTGGCATTTCCTTAACTCTCTTTAGGTTTTCTTCCTAGTGACAGCATTTTTTGGAACTGGAAATATAGCTTCAATTAACAGGTAATTAAATGAAAACAGCATATATGTTTATATAACCCAAAAATATTGTAGGGCTGGGCTGTGTGGCATACTCCTGTAATCACAGCATTCAGGAAAGTGAAGCAGGAAGATGAGGACCAACCTGAGTGCCATAGTGAGATTCTGATTTTTTAATAAAATGGTATAAATTGGTATTTTCTGTAATCTTGTTTTTTACGTTTTGGAGATGGGTATATATCAGCACATACTTACTTTGTTAATGATGACTTCAAAATATTCCTTGGTCCAATGTAAGCTTGTTTATTTAATAAGAATAGATTTGGGGGGATTAGTTTTAGCAATCAATTATTTTAAAGTTATAGTATGAATTTTAAATCCACTTTCTTTGTGCTATTTAGCTTTGATCTTGCCTCGGTGTATTGTTTTCTGACTGTGTTTAATCCTTTCATGATGGGAGCCCTGATGATGTGGAAGGTTAGTTTTCTAATTTTGTTATTTGTATTAAAGCACTGGTTGCTTAGGATTATGAATTAATTGGACCTTAAGGTTATATAAATTATGACAAAATTATGATAAAATTACCAAGTCATTGTGACAGAGTTAAATAGCAGTGGGAAAAAAATGTAATTTCAGGCAAGACACTGATACCACTAGATACTGTTCTTCTTTTTTGCCTTACTCTTTGTTTTGTGTCCCTGTGCTGTACTAGGAATTAAATTGAGGATCTTTTATTCTTGTTCAGTTTTTTAGCTCAGGCTGGCTCCTCTAGCAGTTGAGCCACGCCTCCAGTGTAGCATTTTGCTGCTCCTAGAATTTTTCTCCCTGGGCTGACTTTAAACTATGATCCTCAGATCACAGCCTCCTGAGTAGCTACTATTATAGGCATGAGCCACTAGCATCTGACTGACTCTTAAGGCTGTTTGATCCCAAGAGTAAGGATTGAATGTTAGTCCCAGAAAAACTTATCAGATAACTTAAGCCTTCAAAGAAGCTAAGATCAAAACCAAGGATGCTAAAGATTCTAAACCTCCCTTAATCCATGGTCCCCAACCACCAAGCAGCCACTATGTTATAATACCTATGCCATAACCTAAACCTGGAATCAATCTGTTCCTTCAACAAATATATCTGTGAGTACTCTAGTTATTAATGCAAGTATAGATTTTTAAATCAATTTCATAAATGGTCTGTCTTATAACATAATATTGTCTTTTAATTTCAGTGTTCAGTCTTCACTAGTATGTATAGAAGTTATTTGAGAGATTGAAAATGTATCTATAAGCAGAAATAGTATGTTTCAAAAATATTTCAAATGCTTTAGTTACTGATAATGTATTATTTTAAACAGATTTTAATTCCTTTCCTCCTTGTGATGTGTGCATTTGAAGCAGTTCAATTAACTACACAGTTATCATCAAAAAGGTAAGGTTAATGTTTAGGAAGCATTGATTTGCCTATTTGTGAGTCAGGATCTTACTCTCTAGTTTAGAATGGTCATGAACTTGCTATGTAACCTAGGCTGCCCTCCAGCTCACTGTCCTCCTATGTGCTAGGATTACCAGTGTATGCCAGCACATCCATCTGACTTTTTACCCCACTTAGTAAATGAGAATAAACATTTAAGGATGTTCATATGACTGCTAGTAAGACTGTAACATTAAATAGGATGGGATAGGTAGATAAGGGAGAATAATGTTAGGGTTGACACCAATTGAGATGCATTATGCACAAAATTTTACATATTGAATTGAAACCCTTTTGTACAACTATTTAAAGATAATTTAAAAATAAGTAAAAATAAACTCCTCCAAAAAAACTCGTAATGTAAAAATATAAATCTCACAAAAAAAATGAAACTTCTTACTAGTTCTGTTATTCTTAAATCAAGCTGTCATATTCAATACTGAATGAAAAACAAGTATTAACATAAATTTTCATATTATTCTTGATGAGTTTATGGTAGGACTGGATTTAGCATACCATTAGGGCTATGCCATAGATTTTGTTTTTAAAGATTCTTTTTACTATTTATGGGGTAAAAAAATCTTGTTTCTAATTTGAAATAATGTTAGTTTACCTTCTCAGAGGATTTTCATGAATTTAATATTGAAAACATTCATGCCTTACCAGATATCACAGAAGACACTTAGATGCAGGGGAAAACAACAACAACAAAAAGCAGTTGAATTTCCCTGCAACTCTTTCAGTGGATAGATTTTTAAAGGGTTAAATAGAACTAGAACATTTGGAATGAAAACTTGTCGAAGTGTAAATATCTGTATGTGTGCATATATTTGTTTTTATGTACCTAGTAATTCTATCCTGAGATTAATACAGTGAAAAACTACACACATAATCAAAAAGGAAGAAAACTGAGGCTTTATAAAAATTTTCTTTTTCACCTTTCAACCCTTCCAAGACATTGACATTTCCCTTTGGATATTACACAGACTCCTCAGATTTAATATAGCTCACAATGAACCCAGTGACTCTTTCTTTCTATTGACATGAAGCTTCTTATCCTGTTTTCTTTATCTAGTGCATCACATTGGCCAAATCCATCTACCCTTCATTGCAAATTTAACTGCTTGTTAAATTGTTAAATATTGTTTATATCATCTTTCCTTTTTGACCATATTGCCACCTTCTTATTATCTATTTGCTAAATATCTGCTTACAACTCATAAAAGGCTAGAAATTAGAGTGGTTTTTACACTATTAGCTTGTTAATAGATCTGTATTACTGATGAGTTAATGTAACAAATTAGTGATTGACAGTGTTTCTTCCCACTTAGGAAAAAAGCTGTGATTGTATTATTTTATTGTTGTTGTAACTTGTTATTAGATCTATACTACTAATGAGTTTAATATAACAAGCCAATGATTGAAACTTTCTTCCCACTTAGTGAAAAAGGTGTGATTGCATTATTTCATAAAGCTGTGATTGCATTATTTATTTTTCATGACTTAAAATTAACTTTTAAATATCAGTAATTTGGAGCCAGGTGTTAGTGGCTCATGCTTGTAATCCTAACTACCCAGGAGGCTGAACTGGAAGAAAATCTGTGCAGAAAAGTTTGAGAGACTCTTACCTCTAGTTAACTAGCAAAAAGCCAGACGTGGAATTGTGGCTTAAGTATTAGAGCACCATCCTTGAGTGAAAAAGTGAAGCAAGAGTGCAAAGTCTTCATTTCAAGTGCCAGTACTAGAATACATGTACACATGTGCACACGCATGCACACGCGCACACACGCACTATATGTATATCAATCAGTCTTAATGACTGAATTCATTGCCAAGGCTTTGTATATTTGGATAAAGGCCATTAGGAGGGAATGTAAATGCTGTGGACCCTATGGATGAACCATTAGGGATGCCTTGGGCTGTAAGTAAAATCTTAACTAGTGGTAGATTTGCCTCATATAACAAGGAGTCTAGAGGTTGGTAGCACAGAGTTGGTGAGTGCCATCAGCAGTTCTACATGGCCATTCTTCCATTCTTTTGGTGTTTCCTTGATCCTCATAGTTATCTAATTATTCCCATTTGGATTTTTAACATACTTGAAAAGTGTACCTGTTAAATGTAACTTTTCTTTTTTTTCCAGCCTTTTTCTCATTGTTCTCATCATATCAGACATTATGGCTTTGGTAAGCTATTATTGGGTATTCAATATACATAAGACACAAAAACTAAGTGCTGAGTTAATTTAATCAGAAGAAATGGAAATACTTCTCTGTGCATGAAATCTTTAGATATTGAGTTCTAAGTGCTGGCATAATTTACACAAATTACTTTTTTTATATTACATATGCATTAGAGCACCTGCTAATGTGTCAGAAGTCTCATTACTTGATTTACTCAAACCTGTCATTTTATACCTAGTCTTCCATATTGCATTGTGCCTGAAATGAGCCTTCCACAGGAAATGAACAGAAAAAGTAACTTTAGATTTGAAAGTGATCTTTAGCCATTTTATCAGTAAAAAGTAAGAAAGAAATAAAAAGAGTGAGGGAAGGAAGAAAGAAAGAAATTTTAGCTCTTATCAGGGTTGGAGATGTGGCTCAAATGATAGAGTACTAGCTGAACTCTTGAGTAAGCCAAGCAAACCCAAGCATGAGGCTCTGAGTTCAAACACCAGTACCAGCGGAGAAAATGTTATCAGATGATAGCTGCTATAACAAATGAATTCTTTGTGAGGACTATGTAGCTAGGCCTCTATTTATTAACAAAAAACATTCTCAGAAGGTTCCCCAAATCACACTGAGGTTCAGTAATGCCCTAGAAAGATTCACAGTACTTGCTGAACAATGTCATATTCACAGTTATGATTTATAACATATGATGTAGATTTACCTCAGCGAAGGATAGAGATATATAGAGCAGCACTAGATCCAGATGCAGAGCTTCTGAGTTCTATCTCTGGAATGGGGTTGTGAACCATGCCAATAATCCCAGAGTATTGTTAGCCGGGCTTAGGAGAGTTTGATCACATACTGCCCACAGGGCTGATTGTTTTCTCCAATCCTTTAAGGTGTAGGACTGCTACAGTGTGGAACCAAAGCCTCACAACACAAATTACGTTATTGAACTGCCTACTGACCAGTATCCTGGGCAAACCCTTCTACCATTACATTTAAAGGACCTAGAAATGACCTCTCAGTGGATGAGGACAAAGGCCATATCTCTTTTGGGATAAGATTAATACTTTACAGCGAGGTACCAGTGGTTCACATCTACAATCCTAGCTACCCAAGAGGCTGAGATCAGAGGATTAAGCTTCAAAGCCTGCCCTGGAAGACATATCAAAGAGTCTCTTATCTCCTATTAACCAGTAAAAAGCCAGAAGTGGAGATATGGCTCAAGTGGTACAAGGCCAACCAAGAGCACAAAGCCCTGATTTCAAGCCCCAGTGCTGGCAGAAAAAAACAAAACCACAAAAAAGCAAAAAACAAACAAACAAAAACTTTGCTGTATATCATCTCACATGAAGTGACTAGAAATACTGACTAGGCTAAATTCCCAGTCACTTGATTTAGATGAGAACATTTTTGCAATGTATTGAAGTAAGTATTCAATATCTTTTTGAAATTGGCACACAATCAGAACAAAATCAGTTTTGTTCACAGAATTACAATAGGCAAATACATGTAAGTAGAACACTATTAAAAATTCCTTGGTTCATTTTATATGAAGAGTCAGACTGCTTAATTAAACTTGCAAAGCCATTTATGATCTAGTTTCTGCTTACTTGACTGGCTTTATCTCTTGCCTCTCCCATGTGTTCTCTTCGCCAGCCTCACTTTTAATCTCTCGAACTTTGTCTGAACTTTTGGTATTTCTACAGGCTATTCCCTCTACTCGAAACACACTTCTACATTGTCTCTCCATCTCTTCTTTCATCTGTCTCTTAGCTTTTGGCTTAGATTTTTACCTTCCTCTGTGCTTCCATAGTTGCTTGTATGCTCTGTGACATGTCTTTCAGACATGTACAAATATGTGCACTTGCACATCTGATATTCACTCATGAGCGGGAGTTTATCATTGTATATAGTATATTGCCTATTCATACGTAGTAGGTAGTATTAGTGCATATTTTTACGAGTGGGTGATATGACTTTATCTACCTGTTTGGTATATTTAATGGCTTTTATTAAAGTTGGCTGGGTCTTTATTTCTAGTTATTCACAGATGTCACTTTGTGTTCATTTGATTGAGTGGTAATTCTGCTATTGGCATTTGAGACTATTGCTCATTTTAGTTGAAGCAAAAGTTCCATAAAGGTAGACAGTGGTTCTGAAGGATCAGAAATATGAAACATACAATCTAAAAGAGAAAAAAACACCTCTTGCTTTTATATTAAATATAAATAGAATTTGTTTTTAGTGAGGCCATATTTTATTATAAAAATATAATAAATATTTTATATTTTATTTTATAGCATTTTTTCTTCTTGGTCAAGGATTATGGCAGCTGGCTTGATATTGGAACAAGGTATAGTATATATTCACATAGATGTTCTTGAAAGTGCACTGGAAAAAAATTTAAAAATTGGTATCTTAGTATAGCAGGTGCTAATATAATTTTGAGGTAAGCATAGCAAGCATCAATTATTTTAAGCCTCTGGAGGCAACACTGCATCTAATTTTTGGCTTTAACACATTAGCAAATTTTTTCTTAGGATGCTCTGGGGAAGAGAATGAATGCTTAGTCTGGAGATAACTCATAGGCAACAGGAAGGTGCTTGAAATTGGGATTTCAAAGTAGACCAATCCAGTGCCTTTTGCATGTTCTCTTAATCTCACAATCTCTTTGGAACAATAAGGCTTTCAAGTTGTAGTGTGAATTTTATGTGATGGTTCATGTGATCATTATTGGCCTTTTAGATTATTTAATGTGAGAGCAGTTTAACATGGATCCCTATAACATTGTTATTTAAAATTTAATTTGAACAAAATCAGTGTCTTCATTATGGTGATTTGAATATACATTGTCATAATTATTAAATTTATTCCCTTTGAGAAGAAGAAAGCAAAGTTAATTTTTCCTCTGTTTTTCTTCCTAAATGCATTCTGGCTTATTTTATTCAGTCAATATTTATTCACACTTTTAGTTGCCAAGAATTGTGTAGGTTTGCTTGAGACATTGCATTAGACATTCTCTCCTCTTAGGCAGCTTACAGGTTATATTGCCATACTATAGTGTGTGTGTATATATATATATATATATATATATATATACACACATATATATATATATACACACACACACACACACACACACACACATATATGTATATGTATATACATACATATATATATGCCTCTCTCAATATACTTCAGATCCCCTCAGATCTGGGATTTGATTTACATTTATTTATTTATTTATTTTAGTGGTATTGAAGATTCAACATTGCAATTGGCAAGCAGGTACCTTGCCTTATGAGCCACACCCCCAGCTCTTTTTGCCTTCATGATTTTTCAGATAGGGTCTTGCATTTATCTGGAGCTGGCTTACACCTCTATCCTACTATTTATGGTTCCCATTTAGCTGTGATGACAAGTGCATACCACCAGGACAAATTTCTTTATTGGTTGAGATGAGGTCTCATGAAATTTTGCCAGGGTTGGCCTCAAACTGCAAACCTCCCAACTTCTCCCCCCTGAGTAGCAAGGATTACAGATTGGAGCCACTGTACCTGACTTAAATTGAATCCTTTGCATGCCACACATGCTGGGCACATAAAAGATTGTAAACAGGTTGTTAATTTTGTCTTCATTTGTCTCTTAGATATGAAAAAAATGGTTTTTATATTTAAAACTTCCCACTTACAACTTTGGTAATACCTTTTATTAAAATTGAGTTGTTTTTCTTTATTTCTAGTTATTCACAGATGTCACTCTGTTCATTTGATTGAATAGTAATTCCACTATTGGCATTTAGACTCTTGTTGATTTTAGTCCAATTTTTGCTTTCTATTTCTCACATATCCTCTCGTCAGAGAGTATCTAGGCAGATAGTAGGCCAGAACACAGGCTTAGACCAGTCTGTGAGTTTGAATCCCTGTTCTGCCCCTTGTTAACTGTGAGACCCTGCATGACTCAGTGTCTTAAAGCCCACCTCCCTTCTCTTGTTGTCATTTTAAATTAAATAATCCATATAAAGCATTTCACATAGTACTTGGCATCTAGTGAGCATCAATGTATGTCTGCTATACTTACTGTTACTCTGTAGTTCCATTTTTAACCTGAGTGGCATCATGCAGTGCTAATCTTTCAGTGACTAGATTATCTTCATTTACTATGATGTCCTCAAGTTTCATCTATGTTGTAGCATGAGTTAGAATTTCCTTCCTTTTAGATGATGGACAATCAGAGAAAGGAAGTAGAAGCCCAGAAGGGAGGTGTGACCAGAACCCCAGAAATTCCAGACTCACTCAGACAGTCACATGGAGAACAAGAGATTTAGCCAGCAGGGGATTAAACAGATGTCTGTCTGATGAATGCTGAATGATAGTATCAGTGGGTCTCTCTGTAGTCCCTCCCCTTTATCTCCATGAAGAAAGCATTTTACTCCCAGAGGAAAACTGTAAACAGACTTAAGAAAGGGCTGGGAAGAATTTCACTGTTGTGCTGTATGTGCTTCCAACTCAGAGGAAAGCTGTCTACCTGCTACTATTCATACCTCTCCCTACCCAGAGGGTAGAGACAGGCACTCCTCTCGCTCACTTCTAAAACCTGACAGCAATTTCTATCACATGCATAGAACATCCGGCAGCCACCCTGTCCTATTGATGAGTAACTTGAGAGGGTAAAGACTTTCGTAAACAGAATCTCTCAGTGTAGATAAGGGTGACCTTAAACTTGCAATCTTCCTCTGTGAGCCTCCTAAGTGCTAAATTAGAGGCATGTGCTGCTGTGACCTGCAAGACTTTCTTAAAAAGTTAAATGCCCTTGAAATAGCCACTTGATGCCTAGGTATCTACCTAAGAGAAGGAAAAATAATCCAAACCTTCATCACCACATGAATAGATAAACAAACTGTGCTACATCAACATAATGGAGTACTACTTACAATAGAGATGAACGATGAATTCAAGTTCTTGGATGAATCCCAAACTGCAGTGAGTGAAAGTTGCCAGATATGTAAGAGAGAATATTAATCAACTATATGAAATTCTAGAACACCAAACTAATCTGTAGTCATGGGAGGCTTTTCAGTATTTGTCTAAGGTTCAGGATGAAGGTAAGATTGACTGCACAAAGGCCTGTGGGAACGTTTCGTATCTTAAGTGTGATGATGGTTGCAAAGGCCTGACTAACCCTAGTCATGCTGCTAACTAGACACTTAAGATGGCTTTATATTCTTATGTGAATTATACCTCAAAATTGAAAAATAGAAACCAAGATCACTATCTAAAATTGAAATGAGTAGGCCCATAATATAAGTAGGTTATATATTCCTGTCTCCTAACAGTATAAAGGTACTAATTCATGTTAGGTAGATAACCACCAGAAGATCTAAAAAGAGAACTAGAGTGCTCCAGAAAGTAAGTTAGGGAGAACTAGATTGTGTTACTTTTTATTACAAATTTTCATACTTTTTTTTTGCTTTTAAAGTACCACATATTTGATAAAAATTAATGAGAAGTGCATAAATAGAACTGGAGGTCAGGAAGTAGGGCTCTAGGTTTAGACTACTCTTTGAAGTATAATTTGAGATATATAGGGTACTATTTTCATGGGAATACCTTGATACCTGTCTATGAGGGAGATTTTAAGAACATGAGGAGGATTATAGTTGGAAGGAGTAAATGTCCCTAGTTTAATCAATTTTAATTACTCTCTGTCAGAATGGAGTTGTGGAAACAACATGGAGAGCCCACGCAAAGCCAGCTTCCTGTAGATTAGAGGCAGAGAACTACACACAAGAGAGCAATAGATTCCATTGTGCATTGCAACAGGTTCCATACACCCACCAGTGGGATATCTGAGAGACAGGTAATCCAGACACCAGAGGATCATTTAAGTAAAAACAAAGTAGGACAAAAATTCAAACTTAAATAGGAACTTCAGAATGTCAACCATTTACAGTATGTGCCATTTACAGTGTCTTCCAACACATTGTTTCTGACACTGTGGCCCTCAGGAGACTGTGACTTCCTTGCTTCACAGGTCTTATGCCACTACACCCAGCTTGGTACAGTCAATTCATTATTTTTCACTTTTGTTACCTGTGTATACTTAGGCACTTTAAAAAGCCATTGCAAAAGTTGTATTTAAGATCTAGCATGCTCTTCTCCATGTTTCAGTACTGATTTTTGCATATATTAAATATTACATAATTAATAACATACAGGGTAAAATATGCTGTAGAAGTATTTAATAGTAATTTCTTTTGTCATGGTTGTTGTTCTGTACATACAGGTGACCTTATGTCTTGCTCTAGCTGGGACAATCCTAACTTTAACATTGCCATTATGTATACCAGATTAAAAATTTAAGCAGATGGTTATCTAAAGATGATAAAGGCCTAACCTGTTAAATATCTTGGCTTATCAGGGATCTAAATCCCATAGGCTAAATGAAGTACTATTCCAGAATAAACTGTTCTTTTTGGCTGATCCTAGAGCCTGAACTGAGGGCCTTGGCATTGTCCCTAGGCTTCTTTTGCTCCAGGCTTGAGCGCTCTATCACTTGAGCCATCCCTCCACTTCCAGCCTTTTGGTGGTTAATTGGATATAAGAATCTCATGGACTTCCCTGATCAGGCTGGCTTCAAACTGTGATCTTCAGATGTCAGCCTCCTGAATAGCTAGGAGCATAGATAAGAGCCACCAACACCTCGCTAAAATACTCTTGACAGATTTAGTCAGGGACAGGTCATAGTCCTGTTAGTCAGGATAAGAACGTTGGACTAATCTATATAAACTTCATGCATGTTCCATAGGTCATTCCTGCTGAAATATCTCTTTGGTGTTTGTTTTCTTGGTTTCTTACCATATCATTCAAAAGATGCCCACTCTTCAAAAGGAAGATCGTTGGAAGGAAGGGAATTGGAGAAGAGAGGTCAGAATGCAGCAATAACACAAAGGAAATCTAACTTTATGAAATCAGGTTTTCCTAATGGAATTTCCCCCAGTTGATATGACACTATGAGGTTTTGTTTTTTTTTGTCATTCCTGCTTTTGGTGGTTAGAGTTCTACAGTTCTACAATGTTCTCTTTGTGTCCTCTAGCAGAGGTAGTATACACTGCTTCAGTGGACCATGTAGAACTGGGCTGATGGGCAGGAGCAGGTCATACCTTTATAGACAGCTGGTTTATTGCCAAGAAGAAGCCTAGGTGATTAGGGAGGAAGATAAACTTCAAGATTTAGAGCTAAAGCACTGTACATACCAAAACCTAATTACCATGTTTTTTTCTGCATTTTACTTGTGAGAATGTTGCTTTTAAGTTGGGGTTTCTAATTCCTCTGTGAAAGTTTATCGGAAAAACAGAGATGTTTTCTGTCTAGGTTCCAGTATTATTGAACTTCCTGGCAGAGTTACCTAAGGGGAACCAGGGTTATTTAAATTGCACTCCTGTGGTGGTTTTATTTTGTGACAAATTTTATTTCTGAACTCCTTGTTGTTAGTAATATAGTTGATACCATCAGCCATTCCAGGCCTGTTACTCACAGGAATAAAAGATGTCCTTTTATCCTCACTATTGTTTGCTTGTTTGTTTGTTGCTTGTGGGGCTTGAACTCTGGGCTTGGGCGCTGTCCCTGTCCTCTTCAGCTCAAGGTTAACACTCTACTGCTTGAGCCACATTGCCACTTCCAGTTTTCTAGTGGTTTATTGGAGATCAGACTCTCACGGACTTTTCTGCCCAGGCTGGCTTTGAACCTTGATCCTCAGATCTCAGCCTCCTGAGTAGTTAGGATTACAGGTGTGAGCCACGAGCGCACAGCTATCCTCACTATTGTATTGCTTTCTGATACTGAAATGGTGCAAACCTAGCTGGAAATTTTAGAGACGAGGTCGAGCGCATGAATGTAGTCTGCCTTGTTTGGGTAATGTAAGGTGACTGCGGTGACTTTACAGAATGCTTTGCAGAGATTCCTCAGCTGTTATTTTCGACTTATTGAATAAGGAAGAGTTTCTTCGACAATAAAGCTGAATTACTAGAATGTGGGACAACGTGTCTGTTTAGGGGTGTAGTAACTCTGTTTATAGTGCATCTTCAGAGCAGATTTTACCTAAATTTAATTGGGACTCTGAAAAGAATACAGCAGAGCCAGTGTGTTGAGCTGAAACTCCAGTGTAACCTCAGCCTTCCCCAGACCTGTGGGCATCAGGTGTTCTTTTAATAACTGTGTGAGAAAATACCCTGCCTAGGCTGTAAACCTGCTCAGTTGATAGAATTAATTTAGGGTTTTCTTCCTGTGATCTTTACACTTCATCTTCATTTATTGCATATCATAAACATTACTGAGTATTACCTTTTATATGGCAGAATGAAAATGCGTTTTTAAAACTAGGGAACAATTCTTAGGAGATAATTTTCATAACTATAAAAACATATATTTAAATTTATGTTCTAGATGTATTTCCAGTGAGGTGACTAGAGTCAGGACCATCAGTCTGATTGAGCTGCAGTTTGATTTGATGGGGGTGTTCATTTGGTCTTTGTTTCCCACATGCACTGCTGTTATACCTTATTAAAAAATGATGATTAAAGTATTTATCATTTTTCTTTAGTTATGATGGAAGCTTATGGTTCAATCACTTTGAATATTTTAGTAAGTGCTATAAAATGCCTTACTCTTATGATGACTAACAAGCTTTGTCAGACAAGCTTTGTTTTGTTATAGTGCTGAGGGTGGAATCCAGGACCTTGCTAGAGATAGACACATACTCTTAATACTGAGCTACATCCCTGCCCTTTTACTTTGTTCAAATGACTCTTAGTCTTTTTCTGCTCATTTAATAGAGTCTGCTTTTGAGAAGAAAGCAGTGACGTTTTTATGCCCCATTGTGAGGGTTAAAAAGGCCTGCCTGGTAGCTCTGTGTGGTCCTCCATACACATATATGGTCCCTCTCTCCCACTACGTGTGTCTGCCTTGACAGTTGCAGACTTAAATGTCAGCATAGAGATAGGCAGGTAGTGGAATAGGTAAACTCATTTCACATTGACACTTCACCTTTTAACTTCAGTAAATGTCTTCATGACAGAAAGACATGATGGATGCTAAATATAAGCTAGATGCCTGTTGTCTCAGTTACACAAGGATGATGAGCTCCACAGCTCTTTCTCCCGATAATGTTTAGCAAGAGTCAGTCATTTCAGACCACTGTAATGAGATGAGTGACCTGTAGAATAACTGTGCTTATGGATAGACTTTTCATTAAATTTTGGAATGGAACACTTAAGACATCAAATTGGATTTAATATTTTTACTTAAGACATCAAGTTGGATTTAATATTTTTACTTAAAAGAACAAAATTTAACCTTCTCTCTCTTTTTCTCTCTTCTCTGTCTCTCAACATTTTTTGTAAAATAATTTACACCATAAAATGTATCTATTTGAAGGTTTTACTTATTTTAAATTATTTCAATTTTTTTATACAACCATCATCATATTTTGCTTTTTTGAGCATTTTATCAGCAAAAATTACCTGAGCCCAGATAGTCACTAATCTGTTTTCTGTCTAAACAGACTTTCTAATTCTGGGCATTTCATACAAACAGAATCATACACTATAGAGTGTTTTGTAACTGGCTTCTCTCTCTGTCGTACATTTTGGGCATTCATCTATGTTGTAGCTATAGCTGAGGAATGTTCAAGTATGCTGATATATTACACTCTGTCCTTCCTGTAATGTACTATTTTTGTATTACAGTCCTCAGAGCTTCTCTCTATATCATGACCTCCAATCTCCTTGCCTGGGTTTCCCATGGAACCAAGTCAGATTGAGCTTCCATGGCTTTGACCCATCAAACTATGTAGTGGACAGTTTGTACTCCCTCACTTACTCATCTCGCCTCTGCTACAAAGTTCAGTCCATGACCTATGGGTCAAACATTTTTACTGCATGGAGAAGCCGTGTCCATTATATTCAGCTGATTGGGTTGCAGATTTTGATCTTAAGAATTGCTACAGATTTTGAAATAGCCTATGAAAACTGAGAAACAACACTGTTGAAGATTTTGGTAATAATTATTAGCTTTAGTTCTGTGATTCATAATAGGCATACTTTTTAAACATTATATTAATAGAAATGCATCACATGGTTATTCTAGAAAATACTAATAGCATGAATAAAAATAAATCACATATAATTCAATAATTCAGTGATAATCATGGTTCAGAATGAAGTTGTATATCCTTTTGGCTTACAGCTATGACTAACTAGATATATAGGGCTTTGTTTACAAAGTAAACTTTCAGTAAAGACTTTTTAAATATATACTTTTATTATAAAGATACTGTACAGAGGTGTTGTTACATGAGTAAGGTAATGAGTACATTTCTTATCAAGTATTGTTACTCCCTCCTTTGTTTTTTTCCTACCATCCCTTCCCTTCCCACCTCCTCAACTCTTTCCTCCCCCCACCCAGGGTTGTAAAGTTCGTTTTCAACATAGTGTCTTGTACATCTCATTGTTACAATGGGTCAACCTGTATCCTTAGTTCAAGTAAAAACTTTTTTTAAATCCCACAAGTTAGTGTATCATGAATAGTTGAGGGAAACCACAGAAGCAAATTTGGAGATTAGACAGTTGATACCATTTATGGCCTTTGAAGGTCATTTTAAGGAGTTAGAAATGTATTTTAATTATAAGATGAAATATTAGAATGTTAAACATGCAAATAATTTGATTGTTCCAATATTTTTGAAACAATACTCTGGCCACAGTATGAAGAACATACTATAGGATGAAGAGGCAATTGCAATAGTCTAAGCTACATGGTGGCAGCTTCTACCAGTGTCACAATTCAAAATGAATGGGTCAAGTGTCTGGACCAAGAAAATATTTTAAAAGAGGTTCATAAAATCCTCTGATGTACAGAATGCACTAGAGGGAGACACTTATAGGGGAGGGCTTATAGGGGTCCTAAGTTATTTATCTCAAGTAACTAAGTGAATGGGAAAGCCATTACTAGGAAAGTCAGTTTGGTAAAGAAAACTGTGGGTAGTAAGATCTGTTTGTTTGGTTGTTTTTTGTTTTTTTTTTGATGTATCAAATTTAGGATGCTTGATATTAGGATGGTTCTAGAGAAAGTTATGATATCTTAGGTGCCTTTTTGTTTGAAGATGAGAAAAACTACATGTTTGTATGATGGATATGTTTACCATAGAGAAAAAAAATGGTAATTTTAGAAAGGAGGGTATTGTTGCAAAAATGAAGTATTTTCAGTAGGAAAGTTGGGATGGGATTCAAAATAGGATTGTGAGGCCTTAAGGTGGCCAAGGTGGGACATACCTGTAATCTGAGCATTTAGGCAGCTACAGCAGGAGAAGGAGAAGTTCAAGGCCAGCCTGGACTACATAGCAATACTCTATCTCAAAAATAAATAAATAAACTAAAAGGAGATTTAGTGAGTCACTGGTGGCACACACCTATAATCCTAGCAATTCAGGAGGCTGAGATCTAGAAAATCATCATTCAAAGCCTGTCAGTAAAAATCTGTCAGTAAAACACCAAGCTAGAGGCATATCCATTATAGATTATTTTAAAACATTATAATACAAACTACCATTATGCTGAAATAGTGTTTAACATAATAGCTTGAGATTACGATACAGCTACAGTATGAAAATGCCTGCTACCTGTATTAATTTTAATTAGTACACTACCAAGGAAGTACTTATATTATTCATATTTATCTCTATATAATGAAGTTGTGGGTTTTTCAAAATATTTCAGTACCTGTTTTGAAGTCATTGGTATCATTTATAGTCCGTGTAATTTGCCTATCCATTTAAGACATCTGTACAAGTATGGTGGTGCAAGCCTGTAATCCCAGTTATTCAGAGGCTAGAAAACAGAGGGTGCAAGCTTGTGGTCAGCTCAGACAAAAGTTAATAAGACCCTATCTTAGAAACTAAACTAAACTAAAATAAAAACAGAAGGGTTTGGGAAATAGCTAAGTGGTAGCACACTTGCCTAATAAGCATGGGCCCTGAGTTCAGTTACCAGGAGAATAAAACTTGGAGGACTCAATGCTTTTCCACGTAAGTGTTCCCTGTGCATTTAACATGGTTCGTTTTCTCTTTTTGCAGCATCAGCCACTATGTGATTGTTATGTCCATGACCATCTTTCTGGTGTTTCTCAATGGCTTGGCCCAGCTTCTCACAACAAAGAAACTTACATTATATGGCAAACCCAAAAGCCATCTTGTATGATGTTGTTGAAGCCATCATTCAGTATCCAGATCCTGTTCCTCCTTCACCTTGGAAACTAAAGTCCCATCAAGGATTTTTGGATGGATTTTGATGCATCTTTTACTGCTTGTTGTAGGGAAAATTATATTTTGAATTTTAAATGTGCAGGTTATCTGAGATAAAGGAGGCTCCTTTTCTCAGACATGAAGTCATGCTTCTATCTCTGGAAAAGCACAGTAAAGTATTCACTTTCATTGCTTTTCTTTTGGCTGGCAGCTCTTCTCTGTGATGCTTCAGAGCACTGCAGCAGTGTGATCCTCACAGTACAGCTTTCCCTGGGCCCCCCCACGTGCACCTCTGGGGCAGGGCCTATGGCATTCAAACTAATAGCTGTACTGGCCGAGCTTGAAGGGAATCACCAGGTGGCACCATAAATATCTGTCAGCTTGCAACACTGGTTTTTTATAGTTCTAACTATTTGGCAATATTACTACAATGACAGTAAGGGTGTGCTGTTTCAAGTTTACTAAAGCTTTGATAGCAAAACCTTTGGCAGATGTTTGTCAGTTTTCTTTGGCATGAAGTAATCGTATCTTTGCTTAAATGCTGCTCCTATGATTTTCATAGTCAACCAGCTAGATGCAGGTTTTAACCTTCATGTTTTCTGGATTACCATGGAATTTCTGGGAGTAGGAGTACAAGATGCTTGCTATTTGTGGCCTGTGTTCATGGGGAAAAAAATTTTAAAGAAATAGTTTGTATTTGTGGACTTAGTATCTGTTACTTCTATTACTTTCTTCAGGTATTGTTTCAACTGAATTCTCTAAATTAGTGGTTAAAAGTGTATGGCTGAAACTGGGCACTGGTGGCTCATATCCATAATCTTAGCTACTCAGGAGGCTGAGATCTGAAGATTGCAATTGGAAGCCAGCCCAGGTAAGAAAGTCTATGAGACTCTTCTTCCCAATAAACCACTCAGGAAAAGCCGGAAGTCATACTGTGGCTCAAGTGGTAGAGTGCTAACCTTGAACAAAAAAGATACTCAGGGACAGTGTCCAAGCCCAGAGTTCAAGCCCCAAGACTAGCAAAAACAAAACAAAACAAAAAGTGTGTGACAATAGCTGGGTGCTGATGACTCACATCTATAATCTTGGCTGCTTAGGAGGCTGAACCCTGAATATTGCTGCTTGAAGCCAGCCCAGGTAGGAAACTGTGAGAGTCGTTTCCAATTAACCACCAAAAAGCTGGAAGTAGAACTCTGGCTTAAGTAATAGAATGGTTGCCTTGAGCTTTTGAAAAAGCTAAGGGGCAAACCCATGCCCTGAGTTCAAACCTTATTACTGGTGTGCATGCATGTGCACGCACACACACACACACACACACAGTTTTTGACATCATATAAATTTGTATTAAAATTGCTACCCATAAGTCATGTGATTATAGCTCAAAGTCTTGAAGTTTTCTTCTTAAATGCAGATTTCCATTTGTAAACTAATTCTAATGGACAAAATACTTTGAGGATAATCTTTATTTGGATTTTCTGTAAAGTGATCTTTACAAACCAGTGTAGAGTTGGTCTCTGTCCCATGATGTGCCAGAAGTGTTTGATGGACCCTAAGCTTTGCTGATACATTTCCATTTTAACAAATTAATTGGCTTTCGAATTAAATTGTGGCATCACTGATTTGCATTGTGACTAGGATGCTCCCTACAAATTACCAGCTTTTTCAGGCTGGTGGTTGACTGAACAAATACAATTTAGAAGACTCAGAATTCAGTTGAACAAGGTGAACTTGCTTTTCTCTTCATTGTATTATTATTTTTGTCATCATGGAGCTTGAACTTAGGGCCTAGGCACTGTCCCTGAGTTGTTTTGCTCAAGGCTAGCTGTCTACCACTCTAATCCACAGCTCCACTTCTGGTTTTTGGTGCATAATTGGAGATAGGAGTCTCACGGGCTTTTCTGCCCAGGCTGGCTTCAAACTGAGTCCTCAGATCTCAGCCCCCTGAGTAGCTAGGATGACAGGTATGAGCCACCCGTGCCTACCTAGAACTTTCTTAACGGTTTAGCAATGATAGCATTGTGCTAAAAAAGAAGTTCTAATGCTAACACAAGGCCTCGTGTAACAGTATCAAATAGAAAATCTAGTCAGACAAACAAGCTGCTGCAGCACAGTGACATCAACAGAAAGAGTCCACGAGTTTTCATATATTCATGAAAGGTGTGTGTGTGTGTGTGTTCCTGGGGCTTGACCTCTGGGATCTGGACACTGTCCCTGAGCTTTATTTGGCCAAGGCTCTACCACTTGAGCCACAGCTCCACTTCCATATTTTTGGTGGTTAAGTTGAGAGAAGTCTCAGAGGCTTTTTTGCTGAGGGTTGGCTTCAAACCACAATCCTAAAATCTCATCCTCCTGAGCAGCTAGGATAGCAGGTGTGAGCCCCACTGGCTTTTAGCACAATGAAGGATTTTTTGATCAGTTAGTTTTCATGTTTGTTTACACATCACAAAAATACAGCATCTAATTTTTATAATGAGTTTTCCCTACATCTTTTTCCAGAGCTTCATACAGAGGAATTAATGTAAAAGGTGCTTAGTGCCTTATTTTTCTTTACATGTTCTTTGAAGCATATTTCGTTTTGTTTTCTTAAGACTTTTTTTCAGGGGCTGGGAAGGTGGCTCAGTGGTAGAGCGCTTGCCTTGCATGCCTGAGGCTCTGGGTTCGATTCCTCAGCACCACATAAGCAAAAAGAAAAAGGCCAGAAGTGGCGCTGTGGCTCAAGTGGTAGAGTGCTAGCCTAGAGCTGAAGAGCTAAGGGATAGAGCCCAGGCCCAGAGTTCAAGCCCCAAGACCGGACCTCCCCTCCCCCCGCCCCCCCCCCCCCCGCAAAAAAAAAAAGGCTTTTTTTCTTCGCATACAGAAGCAGCCATAGGCTCACTTTGCAGTGCTCTGCTCTCCCCAGACTCACCTGGAACAAGTCTCTTCTATTGTAGTTTATCATGCATCTTAACGTATTTTAAGTGTATATTCTTATATTAAATAGAGTGAGGAAATTAAGATTTATGTAAAATACTCCTTTTTAGGGAATTTAATTTTTTCATTCTTATTCATCTATCCTAGATTTCCAAATCAAGGTTCCACTGATCAGTGTGGTTTAAATTAGGAATTGCAATAAGAAAGTGGGCATTATCAAGTTGAGAAAATACTGAAGGTCAAGAATGCCAAGATATGTCACATGAACCAAGAATAAATCTCGGAGGGAACTCTGAGGTTTCAGAAAACTAGGTATAGCTTGTCTATAATTCGCCAGTACATCAGTCCTCAGCTAAATGGGTGTGCTTATGAGTAATAAGGGAATTTAACTTACATGCATTGGGAAGATAACGGTATGCCAAAACTTTCCACATACTAGACTACAGAACCTATTTTAGGTTTCCTTCCTGGTTAGTAAACATACATTAGAAACATCCTCATATAATTTTACATTAAAGCCTCAATTTATCACTCTTTTGAAAATAGGGTATTGTATGCTTTTTTTCCCTAAAAACTGGAAGAACGTTGTTTATTTTAACCATTAATGTGGAAACACTTTAAAAGATATGCATGTTGCTTCCCCTTGCATAAATTATGCCTGTCATCATCTAGTCTTTCATGTGGAACCTCAGTACTATCTGGATGCATCCTGTTTATTGAAGCTCATTGCACATTCCTGGATGTTTCTTCTATTTTTACATCCCTGACCTGAAAAACAAATTCACTGAAAATATCAGCATGTTTTCTTTTGATTGAACACTGATGAAGGTGATGACTATACTCTTAATGATACTTGATATTTAAAAACACCTATAAATTGGAAACAACAATTGTCAAGATTTTTAGCCCTTAAATGGCCAAAATATAGTTTATTCCCTTTAGAAAAAAATCACAAGCAGATTAGTTCTTTTCACAGAAGATTAATTAGTACAGTTTGCTTCAGCTGCTACTTGCTACAAATGTCAACAATTCTGTGAAACTTGGAATGTTGCTTTTTCTTTAATATATTTGGTGGACTTGACTAATATGATTGACAAGGAAAATCATCAGTAAAACACATTAACTTTTACCTGCAGTATCTTAATATTCCTAGAATATTGAGGAATAGTTGGTGTTATAAAACTTGTTTGTCGACTAGAAGTATTGTATTTAGAGTTTGAAAACATAAAATTTCAATTTGTTTGACATGCTTTTGTTTGCCTTGTACAATTTCTAAAATTACTGTGATTGACTTTAACTTAAAAAAAAAAATCATCATACCAGAACCGGAGGTGTGGTTCAAGTGGTAGAGTCTCAGCCATGAGCAAAAAAAGGTGAGTGAGAGTAGACAGCCCTGAGTTCTAATCCCAGTACTGGCATGAAAAAAAAAAAAAGCACATCATACCATCTCAACTAGGTGATCAAGACTGACATAAACAATGATAGATTATTTTGATAGTATGTACCCTGGTATGATGTGGTGACAGTGGCATCTTACTTCTCTGATATTTATCCCCCGCAACCTCTAACACCAGACTAATCACAAGAAAAATGGACAGAGCTCAATATAGGGACACTACAAAAAGAAAAAACACTAACGTTTACTATTGAAAACTGTCAAGAGACCCAAAATAAAGGCTAAGAAACTATCATAGCCAAGAGTAGCCTAGGCCTCATTAGTAAACAGTAAATGTATTGTGGCATCCTGGATGGATGTGATCCTAAAACAGAAAAGGTCTTTGGGGGCAAAAACTCAGTAAATCTGAATACAATATGGAATTTGGTTAATAACCAACCAATATGGATTCATTAATTGTGAAAAAATGTATCTTACAAATGTAAAATGTCAAAAATAGGTTGAAACTGGATAAGAGAATGTATAGGAACTCTGAGTCACTTTTTTTTTTTGCAAATTTTCTATGGAACTATTCAGAAATGAAAAGATTATTTCATTCTAAATATTAATACAAGAATAATTTTACATAAATGAATAAACGTTAAAATGGACAAGCAAGGTCAGGGGAAATGGTTTGTTCATTCTTTGGGTTTTCTCCATTATTTATTTTGCTCTATAGTCCTTTACTTCTGCAACTCTTAACTCTTAACTATTGGCATATTAACCCATCATGAGTACTAATTTGTTTTCCTTCATGAATAACATGTTTGCCCTTTGTTGCTGTGACAAAATAACCTGAGGTTAAAAAACCCCCAACAACAACAACAAAACACTCCAAAGGAAAGGCTTCCTTTGGCTCTCATTTTCAGAGGTCTCAGTCTTTGGTTGGCTAACTCCATTGATTTTTAAGCACAAGGTGAGGCAGTATATCATGGCAGCAGCAACGTGTGGTGGAGGAAGCTGCTCACCTTACGGGAGACAAAACACAGCAAGAGAGAGAGAAGCGAGCTATGGACAAGGTATACCTTTCAAAGACATCAGTCTTCCCCCATGACCCACTTCTCTCGTCAAACTACACCTAGTTTTCAACAATTCCCAATAACACACTCAATTGACTAATGAGTTATCAATTGATCTGTCAATTAGGTCAGAATCTAGTTACCTCCCAAATTATTAGAGCTACTAGCAGAGGACCACGCTGGCGGGGAGGCAGCATTTCATATCTAGACCATAACATATAGTTTCAGTTAGTATGCTCTGATAGATACACTGTGGGGGACAGCTGTGCCCTTGCTCAGCTTTGTCTTCTTGAAGCAACTGT